GTCACAAGAATAATAGACTTGCAAAGGAAGAGTTATATTGTTAACCATATCATGTCTTGCTAAGCTCGTCTTCAAGTATCATCTCGATCAAGATGAAGAGAGGAAAAATTAATCCTCAATAACAATGACATTACCTGAAGCAGTGTGAGTCGATAACAACAAGTTGATGAATGACCATTTATTCAGTCGAAACAACATGAGATATTCAGAGAAACATTTCAATTCTTCAAAAGTTTTCAGTCGATGAATGAACATTTAGACTTTGGTTTAGCAAAGAAATGTTTTTGCTGAATTTTGGTTAAAAACTAATTTCATTTAAGCTTCATCACTCACATTTTCCTCATCATGTGCGATCTCATGATAGATGAATCTTGATTGTTGGCTTATCCATGGATTCGCATGAATTGAAAATTTGAGAATAACTTTGAGAAGGAAAAAAAAGTTAAATTGATGGACTAATCATTTTTGGGGTTAAATCTTCATCATGATCTAGCATTTGAAGTTACTTGTTCAGTTGTGTGACAATTGAAACCTCAATTGAACTTGGAGTGAACTGGGAGTAAGTTGTGATTAATTTCATGCTTGGATGATCAACTAAATCTCGTCACTCATAATAATAGGATTGATAGTGAAAAGGGAAAGTAAAAGGTTGTCTTATTATGTTGTTATTGTTATAATTTTTTGTGTTGCCAGTTGATTCAGGTTTCGTCTTTTTTTATCGTGAGGACCATTCCAAATAGGATTTGAGAAGAAGAGAGAAGAAGATTGTTTTGGATGAGAAAATGAAATGAATTGAAGCACAATTTGCGGTCAACCAGGGATTCAACAAACTGAATACAGCAACAGGAAAAAGATGAAAAAGTGAGAAAAGAAATTGATGAAAGAGGAAGAAAAACTTGAAATGGTCAACTTGATAGAGATAATGATGAGGATAATGGTGGTGGTGATGATGATGATGAAAAGAATGGATGTAAAATGAAATTACAATGAGAAAAAAAGATAAATTTCATTTTACTTTTCACTTCGTTTACATTGACAATGTTTACGTGAAAATCAATTATAAACTATAAGCTCATTGAAAGTATTGAGACAAGTTTTGAACATTGTAAAGTGTTGACCTTATCACTACTGATTGATGGAACAGCAAAAAGTGTCGATATTTCAAATTTATTTTTCGATTTTTTTCTCTTTTCAGCTTGCGCGGTCAACTGCTAAAACAGTCTATCTTAGTCGTCTTAACCTCGACTCGGAAGGAAAATACAAGTGTGAAGTCTCAGCTGAAGCACCTGAGTTTAAAACAGCAGAGATGGAGAAGGACATGGAAGTCTATGGTAAGTTCAAAGACTCATCGTTTTCATATCAACATTTTGTGTGAAAGTTACAAGAAGAGCCTCCAACATTCAAAACTGTTATTCAACAACTTTCACATTCCAAAAATCAGCAAATCACTGAAAATTCGCCGAAACAAAAGTCAATTCTAAACAAAAAAATAGAGAAATCGCTAAACTTCTGAATCCAATCCTTGATGACTAAATGTTCAAATCGGTATTCATTAGCTATTACAAATAAACAGGTTAAGCTGATTTGTATAAATTAAACCAGAGATTGGTTTAGGTTAGAACATGGTTAAAATTGGAAGTTACATTGAAAAATGGAGTTAACCAGAAATGCTTTCGACGATTCCTTTTCTGAATGATCTTAAATGTGAATTAGAAATTTCACATGAAATAGTTTTTAAATATGAAGATTGAAAGTCCAACAACCACAGTTAATCATTAGCATCTAAATTGTCGGATAAATTTGGTAGATTTCTGTTTGCTCGGAATAAATTGCAAGAAATTTTTATTCGAGCTGATTTTGTTGAAATATCAATAATGAGATAATTTTGTGAAGGTGTGAAAGAGGCGATATTGCGGTTGTTGAAGGAAGGCGTGAATGAAACAGAATGAAAAGACAGCTTTTAATTAACTTATAATTAACTTGGAAAACAGCTAATTTGATCAAATGTTAACAGAAGAGTTCAACTTTGTTTTAGGATAAACAGACAATCTTGAAAAGGGAATTGGGTTAAACATCATTTTGGTCAACCCAAAAGTACTTCTTTAACCAAATACACACTTTTGGTTATTTGCAACATTTTTTACTCTTCACTGTTTACCTAATTATAACTTGCTATTTATTCAATGAAAATTGCATGATGTTTCCATCATCTTGTATCAAAGCGTCAACTCGACTCATCATCATTATTCTGGTTCAACTGAAGCAGGAAAAAAAGTTTATCCCAAATGATGAGAAAAAAAAGGTCAACCTGTGAAAAGTCCCTCATGAAATTTCACTTTTTTGGGCAACATTTGAAAATCCATTTCATGATATTAGTCATGAAAATGGTCAGAATAAATAATTTTTTGCACATTTTATGCTCGAAAAGACTTTTCAAATTTGAACGGTCAGAAGAAAAGAAAAGTTTAGAAAAAAAAGTTCTTCTTCACCCAGTTCAATGAGTATCAGTGTCGAGTGTTTAGTTTTGATAAGAAGAACAAAAGTGACCCAAAAAATGGACAAAATTGAATTACAGTTTCAAGTTTGAAGCATTTATTCATTGATTAAAATTAATTTTCTTTTGAAAGGAAAGCAACCTTTATGTTCCTAGTAATGAGTGACCATTAAAGGTGACCAAAGTAATTTATTGTGATTTACTTTGTTCAGTCAAGTAGCCATTGTGGCCATAAAATTTTTACTCGAAAGTCGATCAGAACTTGTCAGCAAAGAATTTCTACGAAAACGAAAATTTCGGTCAAAATTGAATCGCTTTTTGTCTAATTGTGAATATTTCATGATTAGTTAATCCAAGACAATTTGTATTCATTTTTGTAAAACTTTTCCAGTTTTTTGGTTGCAACTTCATTCAATCATTCGTATGTGATAATAAATATAAATCTCGTGTAACTTGGGAGTGAAATAAATTCTTGTTACATGAGAATGATGTTCATCAAGAGAAGAAGAAAAAAAAGTTCTTGTTATCATGAATTATAGAATGATATTTTTCGTCTTGCAGCCTTTTCCTCCAAATCAATATTGAAACATTTTCCAGGGAAACACAAAAATTGTTACAAATCTTTTACGAAACTTTTACTCGAAAAGTTGACAAAATGTTTAAATGTTGAGTAAAATTAAAAGATTTAAATTGTTGAATCAAAATGTTAATTGAAAGGTTAACTTTGATGAATTGAGATTTCAGATTGAATATTGAAAATTGAAAGTGAAATGTCGATATGTTTGGGCTTGGAAAGATGAAAGTTTAATCATTTTGTGAAACAATTTGTTTGAAAGGTTTTTCGTTTCATGTTTACTTTAAACTGTAACTTATTGTTGGTGGTTTTGTTCATACATTGACTTGATTGTTACATGAAATAATAACAATGATTATGATAATGTCTAAACAAGATTGAATAAAGTTGAGTGTTCAAGAGAGGCCAAAAAATCAAAAGTTAATCTCTCAGGTAAACACATTATTATTTACCATTGTAAACATGAAACACAGACTACATTAGATGGAAACGGTTTAAAAATTAAAAAGCTCAAAAGTCGACATTCTACTTCTTTGGTTAAGATGAATGTTGAAACCTGAATTGACCTTAAAAATGGAAAAATGGTGAAAATTTTTGTAAATTTTATTCCAAAAGTTCTTTTTGTTTCCACCTTCTTCACCACATCATGTTGAACTGGAAAAGGTGGACAAATTTTCATTTGATTGAAGTTTTCTTGAAGTGGGTTTGCCATTTTGCCTGGTCAGCAGTTTAATGTTGAACCAAATTATCGAAATTTTTTCTCACCAAATCGTATAAATAGAACATTTTTTTCTTCTTCTTTTCCTTCATCAGTTGAATACTGAATACATGATCATCAATGTTTTTTTGGAGAAAAAGTTTTTTTCTCTTTCAATGTTTTTCCCTTCAAATTTGTCTTCATCTTGTTTCGCCTTTTGGAAGCTGTTTCTTCATGTCAAATGTCTTTTAAATTTTCAAATCTCTCTTTCATCTCAACCTTTACTCAATTTTTAGGAATTTTTTTTTCATTATTCAATAAACATGGTTTTCTACCGCATTTCATGTTCACCATTTGCTGTCCTATGACAATCTCATAAATCAATGTAAAGTCACTGATTTGAAATCAGTAAATCATTGAAAGTCAAAGTTAAAAAGGTTTTTTTTGAAAAGGTAAACAAAAATGTTTTGGTAATCTTATTGTGTTGATTGATTGAGACTCGAGACTTTTTGTTTCAAGACTTGGACTAGAGACAATGAAATGGCCGGTAAACTCAATAAATGATATTAAAAGGTGTTTAAGTTGACTGTTCATCAAGAGATTATGTTAAGAGGTTAAGAGAGTTGAAGATATTCTGATTTGAGACAATTGAAATGCATGAGTTACCTTTAAGACTCTCGAGAGAATCAATTCAATTCCATATTTGTTCATCAGTTTTTCATCCTTTTTTCATTTGGTGAGCTTTGGAAGAAGTGAAACTGGAAAAGAGGAAAAAAGTTTGTCCAATAGATTTCTTTGGAGGATTTTGTGTTTTCTCTCATCACTGAAGTTTAGTGAGATTTTGGGATGAAAATGAAATCATCTTATTTTTTACTTCTACTGATGACAGGGAAAGTGAAAGATAGGTAAACAATAAGGAATGATGAGGTAAGAAGTGAAAAACAAAAGGTAAAGTGAATGAAAGAAGGGAAGAGAAAAGGGTCCAAAAAAAGACATTGACAGCAACTGATGTTCAACTTCCCTTGAGAGTTTATCTGAAGATCATTTCAAGCCCATTTGGAGGGACGAGGAAAGTCACTAGAATGGGAAAGACAAATGATGATTATTATTATGATGGTGATGATAATGTTAATAGTGATGAAAGTGAACAGCTTGATAAATTTTTACAGATAAAAAGCATTTCTTTATATTAATTTTTTCTTCTTCTCTTTCATGATGATGGTAATGGTGTACAGTTTTACCTCAAGAAGGACCACAAATTTCGGGAAGTAAATCTCGTTATAATGTAAATGATATTGTTCTCATCAATTGTACCTCAGCGAAGTCTAAGCCTGCCGCAAGCCTTAAATGGTACATCAATGAAAGTCCGGTAAGTTTACTTTTCAACTCTTTTCTAACCTTTCAGTATAAAGTCACTTTTACTGGGAAATTCAACGGAAAACATTCAGAAGAAAGCTATTCGAACGAAAGAAAGAAAGCGAAATCTAAATAAAAGAAAATGTAGAAAATCAAGTAAAATTCTTGCTCTTTAATGCAGATACTGATTACTAGGTGTTTATTTGAATCAAAGCTATGATTATGTTAAGCTCTTTTCTTCGATTGATTACTTAATTCCCTTTATTTGGCTACGAATCTCATGTAAAATTATATATTTCAACAAGTCCAGAACTAGCAGTTCAGATGAAAATGTCTTTAATGTTCTACTTTTTTTACTTGGAATCTGCGAAACAGGAATATTCCCTGAAACAAGGCCAACAATCGATAAATGATTTACTTGTTTACAATTCTTACTCTCATTACACTTGACTTTCCAGTCGATAAACATGACTCCAAGTAGGAAGAGCGTTTTGTTTGAAGCTTCATTTTTAGCAAATTTTTCACAGAATCAAGAGTCGATTCAGAGCGAATTATTTTCTTCTGAATGTTCTTTGTAATTCACTCGAGATGAATAAACTTTGTTTTTCTCTTTTTACCCTTTTCTACCTTTACCAACTTTTCTCAGGCTCCAGTTGAATATGAATATGAATATCCAACACTTGTTCATTCTGATCGTTTAGAGACTTCTGTTAAAAGTTTACGTTTCAAGGTTAATGAGAAGCACTTACGAGGTGGAAATATGAAGCTCAAGTGTACAGCAACTCTGTCCAAAGTATATGTCATGTCCATTTTCGCGACTCTTCACGGAGAAAAAAAGGCCGCCTATTCACAGGCCAACCAAAAAAGACGTAAGAACTTTCATCATCTTTTGAACAAAATTCACCAAGCGATGCAAAATAAACAGAAGAAAAAAGAAGCAAAATTTGGCAAACAATTGATAGCAATTTGTAAATGGAAAAGTTGATGAAGGCTTAACAAGTTTATCCTTATTTATACATTTTGTTATGCTTAATGGTAAAACAATGATAATCTGATGCAACATTCAGAAGCTTTTTATTCCTGTTAACTGAACCAAGCATGAACATGAATAAACATGAACAACAGTGAAAAGTGATACAGATAAATTGTTATCATCAACTCGTCTTATTAACCCGAAAACCATATTAAACTATTAAGTGTATCTGATAGTCTTTTCATCTTCTTCCAATATTAATTCAATTACAGATTAAATGCGATAATTGAGGGAAAAGATGAACATTGAATGTTGAAACAATTTTGCAGATTTTTTCCTCATTTATCCTTCTTCTATCTGAAATGGTACAAAATGATTTATCTTTAATCCAACAAGTTGACTGAATGCAAAACTTGTCAACTAATGAGAAACTATTGTATTCCAAGGTGTTCATGATTTTGATCCATTCTTGAATTGTAATGATTGAGAGGTAAAGTTGCAAAAAAATGGATCAACAATTTTCTCGTCTTTTCATACTCAATCCTGATTCTCGGCAATTTTATGGATTGGATTTTGTTGCTTTATTTCCTGAAAATCTTGTACATCTTTCCAGCTTCATCATGTTCAGTAACAGTAATTTATCCATGAAAAGTCCTTTTATCTTCTTCTTCTTTCCTCTCCCATTTATCTTTTTTTTGTCTGCCTTCCAAAGGTAATGTTACATCTTGTTTACAACAACAACGTCTTATCCTCTTCTATTACCTTCAATAGATTATGATTATGATAATATTGTTATTAATATTTCTTTTCATTCCCTTTTTCATCGACAATTTTTGCTTCTCTCATGTAAAAACCGGAACAAAATGTTACAGAATACTAACAACTAGTATTGATGATAAGGCAAACACTTGATGTACTTGTTGAATTGAACAAATGATTACAATAAGGAAAACATTTTTCACAAAACATGAATAACAATCTGCAAGAAATTCCACTTTTCCAGGGAAGAAAATAAATCTTTTTTCTCCACTTAAGATAGTAATTTTTACTCTCAACCTTTTACTCCAGCCTTTTTTACCTGGCAAAATTTATTCCTGAAAATTTACTCCCAGTTTACCTTGATTGACTTGCAAAGACTTAATAACTGTTTTCAAGTCAAAGATTATTATCAACCTTATTTTTGGCGTTTATAATTGTACGACTGTTGAATGTTGTTTAGCGACAAAAATCTGATGGCAAATTACATGCTTTTAGTTTTGGTAAATCCATGTTAATTATTGATGATTGTAGTTTCCTTTTTTGACAATTGACAATTATTACTATTATTAGTCGAGATGATTTAATGGTTGTAAATTGTAAGGTGAATGGGAAAACAATGAAAAGTCCTTTTAATAACACGTCAAGTTTACCACAGTCACAGGCCTGATGGACTCTTCCCTTGTCCTGGCAAGTCACTCCTTCTAGGTTGAGAGTGAGACCAATGACTGGGACTTTTTAGTCTCTCACTAGTCAATGGTTTGAGGTTGGGAAGTGAAGGGAAAGACCATTAATAGTATTGAACTGGGAAACAACAGAGTTTGGTTCAAGTTACTGATCATTAACAATTGATTATATTAATAGTTTGGGAGTGTAATTTACATGAGTGAAAGTTGTTATATTCATGTAAGGTTCACAGATGGAGGATAGTGGAAAAAAAGGGAAGATAAAGGTTAATGATTAACTGGTCGAGTGAAGAGACAACAATAATCAGTAGATTGAAACGAAATGATAACATAAAGGTAAAGAGTTTACCATCTTGTCTCTTCACTCAGTGTTTCAAGTGCGGTTGATAATATTAAAATCAGGGAAGCATACAATTGTAATGATGATAATAATAATAAGGATAATCGGTCACAATTAAAGTTAATTTAGATTGGAACACTTTACCTTTATGTTAAGTGTTGATCACACCATTTAAATGATAAAAAAAGGTGAATATGATTAGTATTGGTAATGAGTCTAAATGAAATGTGAAAACAACAAAATGAAGAAGCAAAAAAGTAAATTTAAATTTTCCATTTTTTTCAACTTTAATCAAATTTCCATTATCGACCAATTGCTTATTGTTGCCATTTGCTAAATCACAATCCAAATTGAGATGACAAAATCACTCCAAGTGATCATAATAATGTCTCTTTGACAATTTTGATTCAACCACACTTTTGGTTTCATCTTTTGATTCGTGTTTGGTATTAATTTTCATAGCAATATCTTTCCGTGTCCAACCATTATTGCAATTATGATTATTTCAATTAACCAAGTGAATCAATGAATTAATTATAATTCCCTGTTAATCACAATATTGTATTCAGTTGCACAAATGATTTGCTTTGAGAGTTGACTGTAAAGCAATAAGTCAACCTGCGTCTCTTCATGTGATAAGATATCAAATGTTGCTCAATTAAATCTATTAGTGATTTTATTAACATAATTGTGACCATATTTTTAATGTTCAACCTTAACAATGAATAACCACTAAGATTATTAGCGAACCAAACACTGAATTAACATTCTCAATACAACCATGTAATAACCATTAGTATCATCATCATCATCCCATCTTCCTGTTTTAGTTTCCTAATTTTTTTCAGTTTCCAGAAAAAAGCAGAAATAACAACTCTATTCAAATGGTGAAAAAATGCTGAATACCTTTTGATGAATTATAAAATGTATTTTGGGACATTTTTTTCATCCATTTTAAATGAGCAAAAAACTAATTGATCAACTAATGAAAAACTTCATTTACAATATCAGGCTCATCTTTGCTTTCATTAAAATTGAAGACTGGTTATGCTTTTAAAATCAATGGTTTTATTGAGAGAAATTTTGATTTACATTTTGATTCTTTTCATTCAGTTCTTCTGATTATTTTGCATTATTTTTGGGATAAAAAACTAATGTCTTAATTGCATCTCTATAAGAGTCGATATCTTGAGTTGGTTTAATATGTTTTTCATTTTTCTTTGTTTCAGCAGCCAAAGTTGAATCAACTCCATCGCTGGCAATGAAATCACTAAATGTTAAGTTGAGTTGGCTGTTGATCTTTGGCTTGTTCATCCAAGTAAACCTCTAATATTATGAAGCTGATAGAAAAATTGTGGCCTCAAAAAGTCGACAGAAATGCCTAACTGCACTGGGAGAGCCTTAAACGCATAAAAAGTACCAACCAAAGATGATTCAATGAGAAATGTAAACGCTGAAAATGTGCACAAATAAAATCAAAATTCACAGCTTATACCAATGACTCGATTCAATGATTAGCTCTTTGAGATTCCTGGGTAGTCGCGCTAATAACGATGAATACGGCCACTTTAAGTGATTATCAGTTGAATTAAGAAGTGATTTAATAAAAAATCAAACCAGAAAATTCATCCAAATCTATTGCTTCTATTGACTTGTCACTAGCTTCAAATAGTTCAGTTAGTTCAGGCCCATGTAGCTTCATTTTCAAATGTTTGAGATTATGTTTCAATCCTCAAAAGGTGAGTTGAAATTGAATTATAATCATTGTCCTTGGTGTATAGACATTGTTCATAATTAAATTGAATTCCTTGGATTGACTGTTGTTGAAGTGATAATGCAATTGATGAAACTGATGAGCCAAAGTGATCCAAATGATCAGTTTAGAGGTGAAAAGTCATTTCCATTGTAAATCAAAAGATTGCCATATTTGGGTTAAGGTAAGTGAAGTCAAATGTTGATAAATGGACCTCCTATTGTCACCATTGAACAGGTCAGAAATGGTCATCATCATTATTGTCCTTGCTATTATTGTATCTTCGTTTGGCTTTCAAGTTGAATTTGAAAAAAAATAATTTGACTCGACAAAAAAAGGTAAACTGTTTTCATTTTGATATTTTTGCTTAAAAAGAGATTAAGATGATGATGATGATGGGATAAAATGTGATAACCTTTGTTGTGTGTGGTGTGTCTGTCATCATCATTATCATCATCATTCTCTTATGCATTTCAAACTTTTCAGTCTCGCAATGATGACTTCAATAGCCTTCCTGATGGAGTCAACTATTTAAAGGATCAAAAAGCATTATCCATAGCCATTTATCAATTGCTTTTACTCAATAGTTTTCCTCAACTTTACCTATTATTATTATGAGTTTTACTGAATATTGTAAAAGATTTTATCGAAATTTTATCATATTCTGATGAGATGATGATGATGATGATGCATAACAATGATAATAATAAATGTAATCGTAAAGTTGAAAAGACATTTTACTTTTTCCATCATTCCATGTTCCACTTTTGTTCCCGACTTTGTGTGGTAAGATGAAACAAAACAAAACCCAACATTGATTGAACAATAAGTTGTTGGTTAAGGATAAGTTTTTCAATGGTTTTTGTATTTACATCTCAATGAAGGGTTGACATTGAAACAAATTGAACAATTTTGCCATTTCTTTACCTTGCAAGGTAATGATCTTTCGATTGATTCAGCCTCCTCCTTTGGTGTATTAATCTTTCTCGATTTGATATTGTTCAACAATTGTAGGGTAAATTGTTATCCAATATTGAATGCATCATTTCAATATTTAATCTGATTTGTTTGGTGGCATGTAAAGTGAATAAGAAATCAGTCCAATTGCCGGGTATTATTACTTTCTTTGACATCATCTTTTCCCTTTTATCTGCAACTTTTGGCTCTCCTTTTTACTCGTCATCACCATTATCATCATCATCTTGATATACTGCAACATTATCTGGAAAAATTAGTTTCGCTCAACTAAACTGTCCTTTTTTTGTCCTCAACCATCTTCATCTGTTAATGTGTCCAGTGTCAAGGGTAACTCAACCACAAGGTGAAGAGTCTTTGTAACTGTAGGTTTGTTTTGATGAGCTCAGACATGATGATGTTGATGTCAACAAACAATAATATTAAACATAATCTTCATCATAATCTAAATTATCATCAACGGTTAAACATTAGGTGTTTAGTTGACATTTGGACTGAAATTTGAGGCAAACAATTGAAGATGAAAATGTCTTTTTTCTGTCCTTTTCATTCTGTTTCACTTTCTTTTCATCCATTTCTTTTCTTCCTCGTCTCTACTGTTGGCTCTTTTTCCTGATAAAACTGGCCCAACTGTGTTTGGTGTAAATATTAAGTGATGGGTAACGAGAAGAGGTGATGATAATATGGAGTATCATGGATAAAAGATGATGCTGTAATGGAAAAGAAAGATTATTATTATGGTGAAGTTGGTTGAAATGGAGGAATCGATGAGGTATTAATTGGATAGGAGAAAGATGATTAGGATGATGAGGATATTTTGATGGAAAGGTTTGTTGTTACATACCAATAGTTAACCAGGAATCATTGATGATAACCAATATATCATAATTTTTGGGTCTTCACCATTCATTTTGGTCTCTTTTCCTTTTCCTTTATCTTCTTCATGTATTAATCCAAAGGTTTGCTTTCAATCTCTTAATCACATTAATGAAGATCTATGCAGAGATAAATCAAAACTTTGGTCCATTTTTCTTGCTCACTTCGGATACATTAATCATTTAACTTGAAAGAAATGTGATTTATTCTGAGTTTTCTTTTGATATGATCAAAGTGAAAACAAAAACGTAATCATAATAAATGTGCCAATTTATAATTGCATTGAAAGCAGAAAACAAATGAACAATATTAGTCAGTGATAACAGCAAAATTGAATAGCAAAAATGTAAAGTAAACTATATCTTTGACGATTTAATTTGGTACCGATCTTAAAGGACGATCCATTATTTTCGAAACAAACTCTAAAACCTTAACTCGCAAACTGAAAAACTTTCATTCACAAGTCACATGCGCACGCACATATACCGTGCTAACTTTTGCGGTGATTTGAGATATAACTCCCGAACGGTTGTTGCTACAGACCTCAGATTCGACCCAAAAGCTAACTCGGATTGAAGAGCCGTGGGTTCGAACGAGCAACAAGGTATTGAGGAACGATAAATATGGGTTATCCGAAGAATTTACTCCAAGGGTTGACCGATTTTATTTCTTTGAAGTCTCAAATTAACAGAGTAAAGTCACACTTTATTAAAGATTGTCAAATACTTTATTTTAACAACTTAACCACTACCATTACTCATCAAACTTAATAACAATTTTCATCATTTCCATTTTCATCTGTAACATTATCATGAAATGTTTCCCTTTTTCAGTCCAAAAATCATCTTGAAAGATGGAGCGAGTTCCCTTCTACAAGTAAAGCTTCACACAAAAAATGGAACAAGCAGACGTGGGGCGCCCGGTGGCCCAAAACACATTTATATTAAATCTTGTATTGAACGGAAAATCTACACTCAAAACATACCGGATAGTAGAATGGGTCGGACTATACCATTCCGAAGACAAACAGAAAGCTGTGAACGGGATCGGTCACCTGCCTATCCCGAGTAACTTGTATTTTATTCAATCTCAATAAAATTGATTTTTGCTCAATACGATTTTTTGTTCTCTTTTTTCGGTAATTACAGTTGAATAAGAACAAAATAAATGAGAAAATAAATGTTTAGTTGAGTTTCGATGAACAAGGTAGAATTGGGTATTTTTGCTGAATCTTCGCCAATGTACTAGTTTTTTATTGCAATGGAATTCAATGATAATTAAGATGTGAATAAGTTTCTATAAATAGATATTAACCATTTTTGAAAAGATTCAAAGATTTGAAATCATTTGTTCAACAACTTGACGTTTAGCTCGTTCTACCAAAACCTTTTGTATTCTCGATTTCAAATATTCGTTGCATCCAGATTCATCGATTAAATCTTCATGCGTTAAGAAATAATCCACGTTAGCTGCATCCAAATCGTAAATGAGCCGTAGCTTGGTATTAAACAGGAAGCAATCGCAAAGAACTTATCTCGCATATCTTGTATTTCAAAACGACTGTGTAATGAATAGAAAAGATAAGTTCATTAAAGCAAAACTCAAATCAATAATAATACAATTGATTATCATGTAATTCTAGTTACCAATAACTCCAGACATAATTTAAAACCGAAATATCCGGTAGATTAAAAAGAAGCGCAAAAGGATTTTCAGGATAAGGTAATCCAATACCCGGCTTTATAAACCTTAAATATTCGATCTTTTCACTTGGTATTTCCGTGCATGCTGACAGCTATGAATGATGCTCATGATTAAATTTTTTCAAAGAAAGCAATAAATGTATTACTTGTTAGAATACTTACCTGTTCAATTATTGATTTATGATTTTCTCACTTTTCTTTGTACTCCAGTCAATAACAATATCATATCTTTATAATCGTCACATAGTTTCACTCTTATTGAAAAAAGTACAAGGCAAAGACAATGGAAAGTCTGAACTGAAATTCACGTGGACCAAAGTTGACTATTGTGACTAGTCTAGTCTTGTCCGAGAATCCATCAACTCACTCTGTTAGAGGTTCAATGTAATTTTGCACGAGTTTCCGAAGTGAATTCCGGTTATTTCATCTGTTTCATGCTATTCGCACCTTTGGAACATGGAGTTTAAATTCAAACATTAATCCCTAAACTTGTAAGCCTCCAGGTAAAGCCAAGGTAAAGCTTAACCACTACTATGGCCTTTTGGGATCTATGTGAAGCATAGTTACTTTCTTCGACATATTTGGATAATATTCAAAGGCATTTTAATATTTTGAAGAATCAGAAATTAAGTAACTGGGGAACTATTTGTCAAATGTCGGTTAAATTGTTTTATATTTTTATAGTGTCCTTTGATTGGTTACTTTGATTTTTTATAAAATTAAAAAGTCTTGAGATTTAGAAAATTGTTCAGAGAAAGAAAAGAAAAAAGGAGAAATATAAACGAAGAAAAGTTAACTTTAGAAAGACAGCATTTTGTGACATGATTTGCTAAAAGACAACGATTTCAATTTTTTCTCGACTTTGAAAATTGTGAGAAAAGGGACGAAAAATATGATTTCATGGAATGACTTTAGGTTAACGATTTTGATAATTTCAAGTATATTTTGACTTTTCTTGTGGTTTGGCTTCTAATAAAGTCGCTTTTCAAATCTGTAAGCAAAGATAGATGAGACAAAAAATACATTAGTTGATGATGGATTTACGATGACGATCAATGTTAAGTTAGTGTTTAACTAAAATAGCTGACATTTGGAGGAAAATGAACTTACGAGTAAAGTCCATGACCACCTTCAACTTGTGCAGAAATGACAATGAAGAAAATAAAGAACATGAAATTCTGATTAGCAAAAATAGATTAAAAAAGATAAATATAAAAATCATTTACCCTTGGAAATATCTTTGACGACTTCCAGTTCCATCTTTAGATTCCATGGCATCTAATGAACCCATACCTCGATATTTCTTCAAACGAACACCATTTGAAAAATAATATTCACCGGGTGCTTCTGTTGTTCCAGCTAACATGGATCCCATCATAACACATGATGCACCCAGAGCAAGAGCTTTAATGATATGTCCAACAGAAGAGATACCACCATCAGCAATGATTGGTACTCCAAATTTGCTAGCATATTGAGCTACTTTATAAACAGCAGATGCTTGGGATCGACCACAAGCCATGACTTCTTGAGTAATGCAAATGGATCCTGAACCCATACCAACACGAAGTCCATCCACACCAGCATCGATCAAGTTTTTAGCTTGACGAGTTGTTACCACTATTGTAAAATAAAAAGTTATATCAATTAAATTGAAGGTACACTAAATTTTTGTGCAAGATCTAACTTATGGAAATAAGTGCTTTTTTCATCTTGATATGTTTTTTAACTTACCATTTCCACTGTATTTCAACCATATCTGATTCCAGCAGTAAGATAATCCAGTGTTACATCTATGTCAGGCAATTACATTCCCACTTTAACGGAACGCGGTCAAGAAATTTTCAAAATTAGAAGCGGCTACCACCATGCTTATGAATATATTCAACCATTTGTAGAGGACCATTTATTGTGGCATAAAACTATTATTGACTCACATCGTTAATTTTTCATCATTCTGTGTAGTCGGTATTAGTCTAGATTTTAGTTTTAAATATCCATTGTTTTACGATAATAATTAGACAAAAGCCAATCAACACTTTTATTTGTAAAGCTTTTCTTTTATTTATTCAATACAACTTTCATTTGTTTTAAATAAAGTGGCATTTTTTTCTTAATAACTTTTATTCAAATCTTAATCTTAATTCAGTAGTAGTGGTAATGTCAGTCAAGTTATGAATATAATTACATTTACTTGAACCAAAATCAAAGACTTGTTTTTTGAGTTGAGCTGTTTACTTCAAGGTATCCAATGGCAACCATGAAGACGTGTATTAAATAAATGTTTACATGTTTCGTATATTTTGAGTTTACCTATTATGTGTGTCGATATTTAATTCTGTGTCTCTTTCTCAGTCTTCCCAATTTTAATTATCTTCACCACCTGGCTTATCAATTAAAAAGCCTTAAGTCCATAATTCATCACATAACATCTTTAATGCGTGTTATAGAAACTTCAAACTGATAGACTTTATAATATGATCATATTTGTGTGTTTTTTATGCCTACAGCTTGTACCCAATGACTCTTGTTTTTATTTAAAGTAAGCAGTAACATCGTAATGATTTGCTGCTGATTTCATTATTTTACTTATGAAATTCCAATATTGAATTAGTCTTTTTCATAAGGTGAGTAAACTGTGCTACGTTTTACTATCAAAACCGATTGTTAGAAATGGAAAGTAGACCTCAACATTTCACTCATTTGAACATTCACTTTCTCATTTTGACCGGGCATTTCACCCTTTTGACCAAAATAAATCTTTAAGAAGATTAGTGAAACTCCATTTCCTTCATTTGACTCTCCATTTCAGAGTTTGGTTTTTTCATTTCAAACAATCGGTTTTGACAGTACGTTTACTTAAGAACCTATCTTAGCTTCTCTATCATCTCTATTTTGATTTATCATCTGTTTTCATATTCCTGTTTTTCTCTATTTAGATCTACTTTGGTGAATGTGTTTGAAGTTAAAATGACTTTGATCAACCGAGGAATCAACTATGTCACCATCTGGTTTTCTACATTGGTTACTTTCATTATTCTTGGGATTCGCAAAATAAAACCAGCTTCAGCTTTAACCCATTCATTATCTGTTGATTCTTTTAGATCATCTACGCCTCAAGAGAAATTTGATGAGCTTCTAGATAATGAAGAATATGAGGAAGCATTGAAAATTGCTAAAAGACATAATCTTAATGCTGATCCTGTTTATAAAAAGAAGTGGACCAAATCAAGGATTACAACTGATACCATTAGACTTCTTTTGACTCCAATTCAAGATCATAGTTGGGTTATTTCACAGTGTTTAACTGGTATCGCTAATGACATTGATTCAAATCGTGAATTGCTACAATTTGGCCAGGCCTTAGTTGAAGAACTCCTGGATTCAACTGAAAGTAAAAAGAACCAGGACGATGGAAAATCAGTTCAAAGTGGTGGTGAAAGCAAAACTATCCATGCTGTGGACGAGATAGTTGATGGAGATGAAATTTCAGATGTCAGCTCTAATTTATCCTCTGAGTCCTTAATAAATGATGGATTTGAATGGCAAGATTTGACTAAAGTTGATTTCAATCATATGGAGGAGGATGTGGAAGTCTTGTTTACATATAGATACCTATTCATTAAATATCTTGTCCGTTTAAAGTCATTTGAGAAAATTTTATCTTGCAACTCTAGAGACCCTGAGTGTATTGACCAAGACCATTGGAAACATTTCAGGAACGCTTCATGTTTTGAGATACTTCTTGACCTTGCTCATAAAAGTGAATGGCGATCTATCAAAATCATCCTTTCTCGTCATGTTCTTGATACTAAAGAACACTGGTTGACCATACTTTCAAATTTTCCCGAAACACTTAAACCTGCCTTGTACCAAGATTTATTACCTTGTTCTGATAATGAAAGTGGTGAAATTTATCCGTCATTCAAACAACAACTGAAACGGGATTCTAGCACCCATGATGAAATTGAATGGTGTTATCAATTGCGGGATATATTAAAGTTGGAGCAAAATCAAAACCAATTCATAGAGAATTTTTATGAAAAGAATCCTTTCTTCTCCGACTTCCGTAGAGTAAAGCTGGATACAAGTGTCGTATCCTCATGGTTCCTCATTCGAGCTCGCGAAATTGAAGTCAGATCATCTTTAGTCTCTAATGCTATTGAGTTATTGGAACTTGGTATAGATCGTAATATTCCTGATTTGTATGTATTCAAAGATGATCTTGATACTTATGCAACTTTGGTTTATCAATGTTTTCCCATGTACAACTTGGATGATATTGGTTTCAGTGAATTTGAACGGCTGTCAAAAGAAGAACGAGTTAATTTGTTAATGTTAGGAGCTAGTGATGATGAAAAACGTTTCAGCGACTGTCTACATCGATTTCTACTTCCATATCTTCATAAAATATCTCAAGACCAGAAAGAAGAGAAGGAACTTTTGTGGGATTTTATTGTTAATTCAGCCAAACACAAACTAAACATTGTGCAAAAATTATTCATTGATTATAAAATGAGTAAAGAGCTGGGCTCTATTTCTGGACAAGAAATTATTCAAAGTGAAGAAGAATTGGTTGATTATGGTATAAAATGTATCTATGCAAATGAACGTACGGATCAATTGGATGCTGCATTCAACATCGTCGAAACATTTCCAGAGCCAGATAGTCAATTTTTCCTATTGGACAAAGAGCGAAATGATAAAACCATTCGATTGTATAAAAGGTTGGAAGTTGCTGAGCTTCTTGAGCAATACAATTATTATATTACCGTTCAAAGACTGGAAGAAATGGTTAATGAAAAAGACAAAGCAGGGATTAAAGGTATCTTGAATAAGATAACTCGAGATTTTTGTCGTAAGGTCGACTCCGTCACTTTAAAAGAACAAGATTGGTTACAATTTTTAAAGGATCTCGAACGCATAAGGAATTCCTGTTTTTATGGTTTTTTCCCTCTTGAAGATGTTTACGAGGTTTTTATCAAAGGAATACTAACCTCTGGAAGACTGGAACACTTTAGATTTATATCAAATTTTATGCAACTCGACCCCAACCTGCCTTCAAATAGATTGATTTCTTACGATAAATCAGTTGAAATAATTCTTGATGCCGCTCAACATTATGTCAATTCGGCCAATTCTGTCACTGATGAAATTATTGATACTGCGAAAAAGTGTTTGGCTATTCTCGGAGAAGCTGCTGCCTCTAAAGTAATTGGAATAAAAAAAGAGAAAGATTTTATTGAAGCATTGTCCATTTTAGGAAAAGACTTTGACTTTAATATTCTACCAATTCAGATAAGATTGATGGAAGACTCCAAAATTGAATTGATTCATCAAATAATTTCAAGTTCACCTAAAGCTTACAAGAAAACCAATGAATTTATAAAATTGTCCAAAATATTAAACATCTTTGGAGATGAAAGCTCCGATGAAGCAAATGAAGTTAAACTTCTCACTATACTTGGAAATTATGCTTACGAAAGGCAAGATTACAATCATTGTTGGACTTTGTGTAAGATAATTATCGACAAGAACTACACAACTGGGTGGAGATTATGTGAACTTTTGGGAAATTCATCATCATTTAAGAATAACTATTCTCGACTGAAACTACTCTCATTTGCAGTAATTCATTGTGATGATGATGGACTTATTTTTGAAATTTTAAGCAACATCAAAAAATTAAAATTGGTTTTATTAGAAGAGTCGATGAATTGTTTGAAGCAGCAAGAGCAACACGAGTTATCTGGTTTACCATCAACATTCTCATCGATTTCATCTACATCATCATCTTTGTTATCTTCACTTCCAACCATCGAGATTACAAGTAAACTAATTAAATCAATGACTAGACTAGCTGAACAAGGCAATACAGAATCGGAGTCAAATGCAATAAAGCAAACACCTTTAAACCAATCGTACAACTCGATAAATATCAATCCATTTTATTACGATGCCTTTCCAAACAATTCTCACTTTAACTTCAACCTAAACAATTTTGATTATTCCTATCTGGGCTTTGGTGATCTTTATTCAAATCAAATTAATCTGGAGCTATCTAATCATCAAATTAAGCTGCGAACAGAAATGCTCAAGAAAGATATAAACTGGGAAACAGTACGCTCCTTATGCATCAAATTAAGCAGTTATCACCAACCTGTTGACACTTTATTGTGTATTTCATCTATTTTACCTCTCAAAGGAGACAATGACGAGCTTCCATTTAAAAAAATTAGTCCTAAATCGCCTGCTTTGATTTTCACGGCATTATATTTTTACTCTCTTGTACTTTACTTGAAAAACCTTGGTCTCCGTGGTAAAGATGATTGGCCTAACAATATTGCTTCCGAACCAATGAGCTCAATAATTACTAAAGCTGATCAAATCTGTAAAGAATCATATTCCAATGAACCTGATTATCCATTTAAAAGAGAGAAACAATTGATCGAACAATACTTTGAAATGTATTGCAATATCATTCAAAGTGATACTATTGCTTCTCTTGATTCTAGTGTTGATGTGGAGAGGTTTGCCTGTGAAATTGATTATCGTTATGACACCCTACTTGGTTTAGCAATGACTACAGATGAGAAAATTTTCAATGTTGTCATTTCATTGGGAAAACAGTATTCAGTGCCTTTAACAGATTTATATCTAACCCACCTGGAATTTTTACTCACTGATCCTACGAATGATGTAGAGCTGATTGCGAACAAAGTATTTAAAAACGATGATTTTGAGGCGATTCTTAAAGAAAATGCTAACCAATTGGAAAACTATTTCGAGAAGAGGATATTTCCATTGGTTTCACCTGATGACCACAACAGATTGGTTCTCTGTTATCAAATTATTGAAAAATTTTGTTATCCACCAGTTTCATCCTCTTCATCTGATGAAAACGTTGAACCTGGTGATGTTGAAAAAATTTAATTCTACAAACCAATGTAAAACAATGTTAATATTCATAATATACAATATTTATTTTGATGTCCAAATAATTAAAGAAAAAGCTCACAGCTTAACCAATAAATTCGTTTTCTTCTTTTTCCAATGGTCAAGTCTTTTAATCTGTCTAATCAATTCAGCTCAGAACGAGATTAAAATCTAATTCTTAGGTTGAAATGTGCTTCTTTTTTTAGGATTATTTTATACCACTCAGATCGAGCTAATTCCCAACTGTCTAGTAATTAAACTAGTCAGTTACGGTCATCAATGAATGTTAGTGACTACGCTAACATCCAGCTTCCCGCTCAGGAAAAAGCTCCTAACCTCCTCATCGTGGCTAAGTTGGACTTCGTTTTGTCAACGAAACGTCCCAATCATACTAAAGAAATGATCCTTTGAAGTATGATCTTAACTTTAATGGTAATTAAGGCAATTATATATATTCAAATCATTCTGTTGTGAAAACAGTTTCCCTTTTTAATGGTTCCATTCCATCTAATTAAGACTTTTTCAATCACCGCTCAGAACTAAATCTGCTGAATTGAGTTTTTTAAACATTAATTTCTATTCATTTCCAGAATTTTTTGAACAATTTATCCGATCCAATCAATACAATAATCTCATAGAGACCAACCATGTGCGCCAGTTGAACTCAAGTCTACAGTGTACATCACCTTACTAATCATGTGTGTGTTACAATTTTGCACCTTTTTTGAATTTTCTTTACCCTTTTGTTTCTTGTTTATTTGACTTTAATCAATGTATCTACTTGTGGTGAATTTAATCAATTGGTTTCTAATGGAATATCAATAATAGTCGATCATCTCATTGTTATTGACTATTCTGTGGGTCTGTCGATAGGCTTTTCCACATGAGTATGTTTATAATGTTTTCTTTTTACAATATTTTTGATAATTTCTTGTTAATTGCTGCCATCATCTTCATTCAACCTTCAATGTGAACTTAATCAACAACTTATAATTGTGTATGCTGGCTCGAATTGATTAGATAATGCAAATCCATGGAAAATAAAAATTTCTTTATCCATGGGTTGTCATTTTCTGACAATTGTAATAATATTCATTCGATAAGAAGCAATTACATCCAGTTATCTTGATGATCACTTCACACAGAATTAATTTCTGCCTCGAAAATCTCCAGGAATCAAGTTTTCAAGTTGATCATCTAAATGATATTGGATAGATAGTTGCGATTTTTTGATAACAAAAGGTAAATCTGTTTCAATGTTCTCAAGTTTTTTAAGTTGCTTAAGATTGTAAAGACTGGTAAAATATTTAAATAATAATGATCTAATCAGATTCAATTTTTCCCTTTTTCCAGGCTTGATATTGATCTCATCTTCAAATCTAATTATTGTGATCGCCACCGAGATAGATTGATTATTATCACTCAAAAGCAATTAACGAGATGTCTTGAGACAAATCAAATGATCCCAGGTCTATTTCATTTCAACAAGTGGTAAATAAACCAAAAAACCGCAACCAAATTTGAACAAACTGTCCTCATTAATCAACTTGGCCCACAAAATTTTAAGGAATGATGTCATTTGTAGAGAGGATTTTCTCAGGATTACTCAAAGTTCGTTTTTGGTAAAGACTTTGGTTGACAAGGAAAACCAACGAGACATAGGAAACTCTGTATTCTGGTGGATTTTAGCAGCTGATTATGATCTCTTTATCTGCTTGATTGTCGATTATTTATTGTTATTTATATGATGATCAATGATCATATTTCGATTATCATTTTGGACATCATGAAGATAATAATTACGATGATTATGAGCCCAATTTAAGAGGAAAATCAATACTATGGCGAGATAAACAAATGGAGACAGATGGATGGGAGAGAGAGAAGAAAGAGAGATGAGGCATAATGAGGCATAAAGGTAGTTGTTAAGATTGCCTGGTGAAGATGAGAGAATAAAATCGAAAGATCTTAGATAAGATGTGTCTTCTTGTTATTTAACTAAAACTGTGATTAACTTTGATTATTACCGAGATTGGGATCATCATCATAATCAAATCTTCTTTCTTTCTGCTTACTCTCTTTTTTTTACCATTTCACATTGACTCTCTGTGAATACATATCTTAGACTTCCTCTCTCTGTGTCTCTCTAGTTTGATAAAATTACATTTAAAACCAGTTACCAATTCAATTTAATCAACACTGTGAATCAAACCAGTTTTTGGAAATCACCATTAATCAACAGTTTATATTATATCTTGTGATTACCCAGAAACTAGTCTATTAATTTATATTAATTTGTATCAATTTTCATATTTTTGTTTTGTTTTGTTTTTATTTTGTTTACCTTTTTTTCATTTTCCAACGCTTCTTTATCGCCGATTTCTCAGTGTCTGTTTGACAATCCACAAATTAATATATTAATTTAACCTCATATTTTCCGACTAATTAACTCAAATCAGTGATAATACTAAATAATCATGTCTGACATAGATCTTGAAGACGGTTTCTCCGCTAAACAGTTGTTTGCAGCCGGTGATGGATTGACTTACAAGTGAGTAACCTTTCAACAATAATTGCTTAGTGTCATCGATTGATTTAATTCTGGTCAATTTCATGGATTGTCATTTTATTGTTGCCATCATATTAACATTTACAATCTTTGTAATTACAGTGACATCCTCATTCTTCCAGGATACATTGATTTTCCAGCCGATGATGTTGTAAGTATTTTTTACCCTTTCTATCCAATTTTGCAATGTTAATATGATTTTAAATTTTCCTTTTGTTATATTACAGATATTGACGTCTAAATTGACTAAAAATTTGGCCCTTCAAGCACCACTTGTTTCATCTCCAATGGACACTGTTACTGAATCAGAAATGGCCATTGCAATGGCGGTAAGTTTATTTTTTAAAGCTGGATATTCTGCTAATCTTTACTATTTGGGCTATATGATTAATTAATCATGTTCATGTCTTTTTATAGCTTTGCGGAGGAATTGGTATCATCCATCACAACTGCACAGAAGAATTCCAAGCTAAAGAAGTAGAGAAAGTTAAAGTAAGTGCATCAATAAATCATTGTTTTTCAATACTCTAAATCTGGTTGACTTTGTATTTCAGAAATACAAACATGGTTTCATTCGGGATCCTGTGGTTATGAGTCCTCAAAATACCGTTCGTGATGTTGTTGAAATTAAAAGAAAAAAAGGTTTCGCTGGTATACCAGTTACTGAAACCGGTAAAATTGGGGGAAAATTGCTGGGCATTGTGACCTCTCGAGATATTGATTTCATTAAGAATGAAGATCTAGACACACCGTTGGTAAAAGTAATGACCAAAGGAGAGGCATTAGTAACTCTAACCGAGAGTCCATCATCTGGTTTAAGACTCCAAGAAGCCAATGAGATCCTACAACGTTCAAAGAAGGGCAAATTGCCTATTGTTAATAATAAAGGAGAATTGATTGCTCTTATATCGAGAACCGATTTGAAAAAAAGTCGAGATTATCCTCTTTCATCTAAGGACGACAATGGTCAACTTCTTGTTGGAGCTGCTATTGGCACTCGAGACACCGATAAAAATCGTCTCAAGTTATTGGTCGATGCTGGGGTTGATGTCATTATTCTTGTAGGTTATCATGTTAATTCAATCAATTTTATTAGATATTTGCCCTATTCTTCTTATCTAATATTCTACTTCTCCTCTATTTGTTTCTTTCTCAATGATTTTGATAATGATCATGATTACGTTGTATTCCTATCATGATAAAGGATTCTTCCCAAGGAAACTCATGTTATCAACTTGAGATGATCAAGTTTATTAAGAAAACTTATCCAAGGCTCCAAGTTATCGGTGGAAATGGTAAGTTAAAAAACATATCAAGATGAAAAAACACTTATTTCCATAAGTTAGATCTTGCACAAAAATTTAGTGTACCTTCAATTTAATTGATATAACTTTTATTTTACAATAGTTGTAACAACTCGTCAAGCTAAAAACTTGATCGATGCTGGTGTGGATGGACTTCGTGTTGGTATGGGTTCAGGATCCATTTGCATTACTCAAGAAGTCATGGCTTGTGGTCGCTCCCAAGCATCTGCTGTTTATAAAGTAGCTCAATATGCTAGCAAATTTGGAGTACCAATCATTGCTGATGGTGGTATCTCTTCTGTTGGACATATCATTAAAGCTCTTGCTCTGGGTGCATCATGTGTTATGATGGGATCCATGTTAGCTGGAACAACAGAAGCACCCGGTGAATATTATTTTTCAAATGGTGTTCGTTTGAAGAAATATCGAGGTATGGGTTCATTAGATGCCATGGAATCTAAAGATGGAACTGGAAGTCGTCAAAGATATTTCCAAGGGTAAATGATTTTTATATTTATCTTATTTAATCTATTGTTGCTAATCATAATTTCATGTTCTTTATTTTCTTCATTGTCATTTCGTTCTCTTTAACAGTGATGTTGATGAAGTTAGGGTTGCTCAAGGTGTGACTGGATCAATTGTTGATAAAGGATCAATTCATAGATATGTACCTTACCTTATTGCTGGAATCAGATATGGTTGTCAAGACATTGGTTGTCGAAGCTTAGAAATCTTAAGGTAAATTAAATTTTAAATTATTGCCTGTTTTATTAAAACCGTCAAATTTCTCTAATTTTTATATTCTAATTACATTTTATTTTCATTTTATATTTTAGGGAATACATGTACAAGGGAGAACTTAAATTTGAAAAGAGAACAGCTTCTGCACAAGTTGAAGGCGGTGTTCATGGACTTTACTCGTAAGTTCATTTTCCTCCAAATGTCAACTATTTTAGTCAAACACTAACTTAACATTGATCGTCATCGTAAATCCATCATCAACTAATGTATTTTTTGTCTCATCTATCTTTACTTACAGATTTGAAAAGCGACTTTATTAGAAGCCAAACCACAAGAAAAGTCAAAATATACTTGAAATTATTAATATCGTTAACCTAAAGTCATTCCATGAAATCATATTTTTCGTTCCTTTTCTCACAATTTTTAAGTTGAGAAAAACTGAAATCGTTGTCTTTTTACAAATCATGTCACAAAATGCTGTCTTTCTAAAGTTAACTTTTCTTCGTTTATATTTCTCCTCTTTTCTTTCTCTGAACAATTTTCTAAATCTCAAGACTTTTCAATTTTATAAAAAATCAAAGTGAACAAGAGCTAAATTATAATCATCTACAAACGAAAAAAGCTTATTGAGATTAAACCAGTTAAACAAACGCAGAATCTATACAATATATAAAGAAATGTATTAAATTAAAATTGTGGCCAAAATAAAATAATTTTTAACCATGCGAAAGTCGACAATGGACTACAACGACATAAAATAGTCAGACATTTCATTGCACTTATGTTTCATGAAAATCATGTTTATACAGGCTGAGGGAGCAAAAGCAGAATCCTCATGTAAATAAATTGGATAAGATATTATCTGGTTTTCCAGAAAACCTTGCTACTGAAGTATCATGATTGTTCATGGCTTCAAACTATTTACGTGAAACACACTTACAAAAACTTAAAATCGAATGGATGTTTTGCTGCGAATTTATCATTTTTTTAATTTCGATTGATCACTAAATTTAAGAAAAACATGAAAATTGATATTGAAAAAGAGGAAATCATGAACAGTTGTTATATTAGCTGTGAATTTCGTAACTGATCATTAGTATTGCGAACAATTGATGGAAAATTATCATGAAGCTGTTTCGTTTATCAATATTACATTCATTTCCGCACACATTCAATACATACATTTCGTTAGAGTAAAACATTAAAAGATCACTTCCAAAAGTCTAAAGTTTATATACATTCCATCATTTGAATCAGAATAATTAACTTGGCTGACATTACCATTACCACTGAATTAAGATTCAGATTTGAATAAAAGTTATTAAGAAAAAAATGCCACTTTATTTAAAACAAATGAAAGTTGTACTGAATAAATAAAAGAAAAGCTTTACAAATAAACGTGTTGATTGGCTTTTGTCTAATTATTATCGTAAAACAATGAAACTAAAATCACGACTAATACCGATTACACAGAATGATAAAAAATTAACGATGAGCGTCAAAAATAGTTTTATGCCACAATAAATGGTCCTCTACAAATGATTGAATATATTCATAAGCATGGTGATAGCCGCTTCTAATTTTGAACTCAAGAGACAAATTGGTTCCTCTAAAGGCATCAAACAAGTCACTATCGAAAGCATCATCCATTACCGGATCAGCACCTCCCTAAATATAAATAGAAATGAATGAAAATCAATATAAATGGAAATCATTTTACAATAACATTTACAGTAATAAAATAAATTGGATCTTACCACATCAATGAATATGGTTCTTTCTGGACCTTCATAGCTTTTAATGACATGAATTGGATCATAGACCTTCCAAGATTCAACATCAGAGCCTAAATAAATGTTGAAAATTTCTTGACCGCGTTCAGTTTTAGTGGGAATGTAATTGCCTGACATGGATGTAACACTAAGAAATTTGTCTGGGTTTCGTAGAGCAATTGGTATTGACGCTGTTCCTCCCATTGAGTGACCTGAAAGTCCAATCAAATCAGGTTTAACTGGGAAAACAGTCGATGTTAATAGGGAATAAAATTCATCGACAATATAAGAATACATGTTATAATGTTTAGACCAAGGGTCAACGGTTGCATCAACATAGTAACCATATTGAGCTCCAACAGGCAATTCACCCTTTTCATCTTTAGGCTCAATTCCTCTCGGTGTTGGTTCGGGTGCTGCAATAATGAAACCATTTTTGGCAGCAAATCGTTGGATTCCCGATTTATTGGTGAAACCCCATTCACCCAGAGTCCGTCCAGTTAACCACAACATAACAGGACATTTGTCACCTTTCAATGCATTTGGAGGCAAATAAATGGCAAATTTCATTTCCCAATTGTTGGTTGAACTGTGATGAGAGTATCTTTTTTGGTAACCATCAAAAAGCTTGAGACTTGATATTTCTTTAAATGATGACATTATCGATCGACTTGATTAATCCAATTGAAATTAAATGAGTTGATCCAAGCAAATCTTTACTTTTTGTTTTGTGTTTTTTAATTGTTGATCTTTAGTTCATTTGCTTTTCATCTGTTCGTTTACAATACGTAAGTGAAAGTTGAACGTGTTGAAGGGTAACAATTGAGTTTAAAGTTGGGTTTGATTTGCTGAGGTTGTCAAGCAAATCATTGATGACAAAAATAAAGGTAAAAATATCAAAATGAACAATAAGAGAGGTAGAATTATAATAATCAACTATTATAATTAACAGCAATTTAGAGAAACAAAAATATCCAATTCTTTTGTGTCTCTCTCTTTTGACTCTTCTTTTGTTTCATTGATTATTAAGATGATTGTAAGTTGATTTGGCTCCATTTTAATGATCACTTCTCCCCATTCATTGTCAGGTCCAACAATCAAGATCAATGATTTATCGGTGATCGCTAGCATTTTACTTGATTAGAATAACAATAGCTTTACGTCTCCTTATTCAATAGGAATCTTTTTTGTCGCTTTCGATAGTTAAGATAACAGAGATAATTGCATTAAATAATTAACAATCGTAGACTAGTTTAGGTTGTTTATCAATACAAATTTAAAAAACAGTCAATTTTCGTGATGGAAATAACTTTAGTTACTTTGATGATCAGATAATGAGAAAAAAAAGAAAACAAAATTTGATTTACAAAAAATATTTGTTTTCACCAGTTGTATTGTCAATAATTACAATTGATTTTGTCTTGAGAGTTTGACGAAAAAACTTTGTTGGACAAATTTAGGCCTCTTTAAAAAAAGAAACGAGAAATATATGTATAATAATATAAGTTATCATAATGAAAACTAGTCAGAACATTGACTAACTCCGTTAGTCTGGACAGAATATGTTGTACTTTTTTTTCATCGGTGATCACGAAATCATCAGGAATAGTAAGTAGTTCGCTTCTACTCGTTTTTGTTTCAAAATTTAGTGTACAAAAAAGTATAACAATGGAAGCGTAGAATATTTTTTCATTGTTTTTCACAATAATGATTGAATGATTATAAACTCATGAGTCTGGCAAGATGGTTGGTAAAAGCGTGGTGGTTGAAGGACGGGAAAATATGTAAGGCCAGGGAGACCTAAAATATCCTTGAGATATTCATGTTGGCTTCCTTGATGTTACTTTGTTACATTGGCACTTGAAATTTTTGTTTGGAAGGTCATGATGTAAATGTACATGTTGATAACCAGGTTGAAGGAAATCGAAATAATCTTTTCCTTTATCTACATTCCATTTGCTTGATATTTTTCAGTTTATCCAAAGGTTTGAAGGTAGACTTTGAAAGCAAGTTTAAATGTTTTAGATTTGGGTTTTATATTTACATGGGTGATGATCAATGTTTATGATTAGAAGCTTCCTGATTCATTTTTACATCGATAGTGAACTCATTTACCACCAGCTTTGATTGAAACTCCAGGAACGCAGGATGAATAAAAATAGCAACTTTTATGAGAACTGGAACAAGTTAATTAGGTTGGTCCTTTGGTCATTAACTAAATGTAACCTCAAAAAATGCATTATTTTCACTTGATTTTCCATTCAAAATGTCAGAAGATGATTCTTTTCTCATGACACTTGAATCAATAGAGCAGAAGTAGGAACCTTTAGATTCAATTAGAACACCATTTTCGCCATCGAGAATGTCCTTGCGATTGTTGATGAAATTTTCATGTTTCATTTTAAATTCCAGATCTTCTTCCCTTTCCTCTTCATCTTCATCGTAATTGAATGAATCAGTATCTTTCTCACTTTGCAAATGATCGTCATTATGTTTACAGATTGAACCAACAATATCAGAACAAGAATCAGCAGGATACATCATGGCATCAGATGTGGAAGCTTGACTTGAAATACTTTTACTGCTACTGGGCTCTTCTTCATCTTCATCCGTCTCTTCAGTTTCCCCTCCTTTCGGGCAATAATCATCTTGAGATAGTTGTAAGCCAAGTTGCGATAACCGAGAATTAACCATCTCAATGGACCTCATTTCAGGTTTAATCTCAGCGCCAACACCAGGTTCTCTCTTTAAATGCTTAAGCAGGGAACAATTACGCTTCTCATGAATCTCTTCGGAAATTGCCTCCAATTCTCTGAGAGTAGCTGCATAACGGGCTTTTGAGCAATTAATTTGACTTATGATTGATTCAATTTCTTCCTTGATTGAGCCTAGCTGTTTTTGAAATCTGGTAAAGAAAAAATAAAATAGATTATTAGAAAATATAATTTATGATGTTTAAGGTTTCATTAAAAAGTAATGTGAAATAATTTAATATTCAGCTCAGAAGGCAGATTCAAGTGACACACTAACCAAGAAAACATAGCAACATGAACAACTCACTAAGTAAGCTGACATGTTCACCAAGCTGTGCAAGATTTTTCATCAAAGAAAAGATGTGAGAAGAAGAAAATGTATAACAAAGATGAGGTGAAATCATGATTAACCGGATAACAAGTCAAGTTACCCAGAAAAAAGAGTAAAGCATAACACAATGTAAGACTAAACCATTACGGAATCAAAAGGGTTGGCCCTGAACTTGATCAAGTGCAACAGGAAAAGCTGACCGAGTAAACTAAATGATGAATGATGCGAGTCGAGTAGAAGCTGAATGAATGGGCAAAAAATGGTCAGTCGGAAACTATTTATGAAAAATTTTCGTACCAACAAAGAGCGAAGAGTAAATGTAATTTTTGAAACATCAAGACCAAGTCAAGAGAACGATTTAAAACAAGATTGAAAATGTTACAGCAAATGTTGAAAATGAATAAATGTTTCAATTGTAATTAACAATCGAAATATTTCTTCAGTTAAAAATAACAAATTAAATGACTTTGAGCAAATGTATCTAAAAAAATTATACAAAAGTGAAATTAAGAGTAAGCTTTTTGAAATGAAATAATTTCATGCAGCAGCATGTAAATAGTTATGAAACAATTCGGCATGTTTCTACAAAAATAGAAAGTGGAAAATGAATTGGCAATTAGTTTAAATTGGTGAATCAATTTGGAGGGTTTGGTTTGGTTTCATTGCAATCAATCGGGAAGAGAGTGTAACATTTAAGATGAGAATTGAAATTTGACCGGAAATATTACAATCTGAGAATCTGAAAATTGCATGATTAGAATCGTAAATGATTTGTGAACAACATTAACAAGTCTGGATCAAGTTGAGTGAGTAAAGTGTAAAGTTGAAAGTGCAATTTGAGAGCAAAATTGGATAAAGAAACGCAATGCAAGTTCAATGGATGAATTGAAAACAAAAGGTCAAAAATGGTGGAAAGACTAGAATTATCAACATTTATTATTACCTGATTTCAACTTGTTTCAAGATTAAACTTGGTAATCAACTGATTTACCTTGAAACAAGTGTGCTTATGTATAAAGCTTTAGTTAATAGCAGTTAAACATGATAAAACAGATAAGGCTGTTTAATAAATTAACAATTTTGCAATTGATGGAAACATCACATGGAATTTTTGGTTCACTAAATTGATTGAAATATGATAGTTAAACAAGAGAGTTTTATAATTACTTGAAGGTTAGATTACAATTCATTTCTACCTTTTTTCCGATAGAAAATGTAATCAACAAATTAAAATAATTCAACTTTTTACATTTCCATGCATTTTTGTTGAGTCGATAATATCAAATCAATCAAAATCAATCGGTGTTAACTGATGGATCGGAGAACAGAAAAAAAATCATTATTCAATGCATTGTAGATGTAACAAATATATTGAATAAACAGCATAAATCACGAGGTCGTGTAAAAAATACAGTAAAAGGTATATGTCGTTGACTTTATGACTTATCAAACTTGACATTATGTAAGATTCATGATGAACAACCTTCATTGGATAAATGGATTGAGAATTCATGGGTTGTTAAGTGACGTTATTGAAAAAAAGGAACAGCAAAAGGTGATTAAAATCAAGAGACGACTTAAGAGCCAAATGGTTAGATTAATAATAGAGAGATTAAGGAGAAGAGAGAAGAAAGAAGAAGAAAAGAAAGAGAGAGAAACAAAATCAATACAGTAAATTGCAATTGAGTGAAAACTGTTGGAACTAATGATGAGATGAATTGAGATTGTGAGAAAAGCAAAAATCCTTCAAAAAATATTTTCTCCTTTATACATAATTTGAAGTAATGTAAGTGTTTGTTACTGCAGCAAAATATGCACATCATTCATCATCACCATGATCATCAACAGTTACATTATCAACATGTTCGTCAACTAAATTAGTAGTTAATAACGGTGAATATATGAACAACTGAAACATGACACAATAAAATTCATTCATTTGACGATCACTGAAAGAGGATAGCTCGAAACAAATAACGGCATCAGCAGGAAGTTGTAACTCATTTGGTTAAATATTTCTGCACAATCATTTTTTCTTAGCCTTTTGGACTGGTGATATTTTGAGCAAGCTTGAACCTGTTGATAATAGAGATGAAGGCGATGATGATGATGATTATCAGTGAGGCTATGTTGATAAAAGAGTAACAAAATGAAATGCCTTTTTTACTTTTACTAATTCTTCCGTGTTTAACCGGAAAATAGTGATGCAAATCAAACAATAGCTTTTCCATGAGAAATGATGAATAAACAATGAAACATGTGACTTTTAAGCTCGATAGAACCTTGAATTAAGTTGATTATCATGAGGGGCAGTAATTTAAATTTGATTCTGCTTTTTAAACGATTGAATGCGCCACTAAAAAGTATTTCAGAACAATCTTCATAATGGATGAAATCTTAATTAAAATTGTGAATAGGAGAGATTTCGATTTAAAGCTTTATCGCTTTTTTTCGTGGAAAAAAACTAACAGCTTTCAAGTCTCAAAATAACAGCAAGTCTGTATATTGAATAAACCTTTAAAACATAATCACCAGTAAAACGTTATTAAAAAAACCATCAATAAGTGATGTCACCATAGATAAGAAATGCCATAAAAAAATTGATTGAAAAGATGATGATAGTTTGTTTGGAGAAAATTCCGAATTGTAAACACAAATTCGCGCATAAAATGAAACACAATCACAGAGATTCAGAAGAAACTAACCTTTTCTTTTCCTCGAAATAACGCTTTGATCGATGTAAAGATCCTTTCAGTTTTTTCTTTAAATCGACAACCACCATCTCAGCTGAATGGAAATCTTTCATTGAATTGTGGTGGAGTCTTTCACTTTCTTTTTTCATCGTCTCAGCCTCCATTAATTTTATATTTGCTTGATTGAGCATTTCTTGCCAGGTTGTATCAAACTCATGAGCGGCTGAGTTGAATTTTTTTTCGGCCAAGTTGATTCGTTCTTTTGCTTCCAAATAAGCTTGACAGGCTTTCTCAAAGTTAATGGCTGCCTTTTGACATTTGGCTTGTACTTCAGTTAATCTGTCTTTGGCTTCATAGTAAGGTCGAGAATCATCAATAGATTTTCCCAGTTTGGTGGATAACAATTTTAACCGATCAGTTGATTCATTTAAAGTAATCCGAAATTTGGAATTGGCTTCTTCAAAACTTTTCTCCAGTGTATTTATTCTACCAGTCCATTTGTTCAATTCTTCCAGCTTCAAGCCAATCCGAGGATCCAAATTTGAGCCAGAATCGTCATCTTCTTCAGTAAATTTATCATCTCCACATTGATCCATCTATGGCGTTATAATGATGAATTATAAAAACAAAGAAGCAACAAAAACAAGTAGAAAATGAAAGCACAAATAAAGGACAAAGAGCAAAAGAACGGAAGACAAAGTTGAAAAAAAGCAACAAATCCTATTGAACTTATAAAATCATTATCCAGGTGTTAGGAGTATCTAGACATTGACTACGGTAAAGATGGAACTTAAAAAGGGATAAAATAAAATTGAATTTAAACTAAATTGGTGATGAACGAGTAAAAAAGTAAATCAAGAATAACTTAAGTCATGTTTTGAACGAAACCTTTACTTGAATGACTCACCAGGTGAGTGACAAAGAAGGAAACTAAAAGTTTCCATTCAAGTCACCAGGAGTTTCCTCTCTGCCATCTGTTGGCTATAAAAACAACTCGCATTTTGCCTTCAAGTCTTGCTTAAGGCAAAAGTAAAGAAGCCTTCTTGTAAGCCTGCTTTAAGGGTTTTAGGATCAGATGATTAGCAAATTGTTTGTTTCAATATTAGTTAAATACTTCCAGCTTTAACTTCCAGTTTTTACCAGTTAAATTCAGCAGATCGATTACACTCGCGAGTCGAGTCTGCTGTTGCTTTTAGTCTTCAATGGTGCTAGCCTTGTATTTTGATGAACAATTGTGAATAATTATTGGCTAAATCTAGTTTCCAACGGTTGGTGTCTTGAGATGCACAAACGATATTTAGACTTCCAATTTATCATATTTCGATGAACTATGAGCCAAACAAGCTGATGCAAGATTCAGTTATTTTCATGTTTACATCGGAATCGCCCGTCGGCCTATGAGCAATGGGATATATCAATCAAAGAGATGGAGGTGATCATTTATTCAACTCAATGAACTATTGTCAATTCTTTATTCGAATAATTTATTCCTACGTTTACTTCTAGTTTCTTGTTGATTTTTAAGGTTTATCCTTGTTTACAACTTGAAATCCTTGGAAGCTACTGTTGAAGATGATAATAAAAGTACACGCACAACTTGGTTGCTGCTGGTTAACACGATCAACAATTGAAACAGTACTTAACCCTGTGATGAAAAAAGGCCTTGCATTGATTATATTAATTTCACAACCATCATTTAAGTGTTAATTGGCTTGTACAATGTATGCCTCGTAGTAAACACAATTTAAGTGCGATCGGGTATTTTTGGATCTGCTTAGCTGCAAAGATAAAAATAAGACCAAACTTATCCAATTAAGCTAAATTAGATTTGAGCGCCTGTAAATATAAATAAAGATTAAAATTAAAATTAAACAAGCTAAGAATTAAAGAGAAAAAATTTCAAGAAAAATCGTGAATAGACTCAACCATGGATTAACCAAGCAACTGAAAATTTCTAATCATAGAGATGATCATTCCAAATCGAAATCGTCAGAATTAAGGAAACTATCAGTTAGCGAGCGATCCAAATTGTTACCAAAGGATAACTACGAATTAGGGTTAACCAGAAAAGGTTAACTAGGACCTAAATTGAAGCAAATTACGAAAGCACAGATTAATTGATGATTAACATTTATATTTTATGCATGACCATCTAAAGTTATCAAACGGCTTGTAATGTAAAAAATTATATAACCTACCAAATCAATAAATAAAGTTTTCCTTGATAAATTGTCGTTGTTTTTGATCATATTGAATGGCTCGCCTCAATTGTTTGACGTATTATTCAGGTTCCAAATGAATTACTTTCATATTCTCCTCTATTGTTGATGTTGTTATTTGCTATTTGTTTGCTGATTAATACTTTATGGTAATTTTTACCATAGATAACTTGAATCTTTCAACCAGAATACATATTAACCCTTAACACTGTGAGTTGTTTATCAAACCAGAAACAAAAAGGTAGAGAGAGTGAGAAAGATAAAAACAGTTATAATAACAATGGAAAGATGAATTAAAATCAAACAATAAACACTGGTCTTTACAGTCCAATATTAAATCAAATTAAAACAGGGTAACCATGGTAAAATCATTAAATGCTATTTAACAAACTAGACAGTCAAATAACAAACAACAGCAACAATTATCACAAGTAAATTAATTAGGTAGGTTAGTTGATTGTTGGAATAAAGTCAAGTGAGGAAGATTAACCTCACATTTCCTCAATCATTTTACCAATAGCTTTACGCTAAGAAAATCTGTTGGACTTGAATTTTAATCTGCAACACAATGGATTTGATTGTTGTTAAACCTTTCCTGGGTTTCCTGGTATTGTTCGGATTTCTCTATTTATTTGCTTTAACTCCGATTCTCGTTAATGGATTAACCGATGGAACCTGCTTTTCCAACGAAAGCTTACCACTTTTCCAATTTACCCCAGGACACTATGAGCCTGAACCTGAAGATAAGCCCTTGAGACCAGAAAGATGTTCATCCCTTTGTGCTGATGCTGAGTATCCGTTGGCAGCCATTGTATCACAAGTTTATTGTCTGTGTGGTGATGAGAGTACGATCAATTTGCTTGAATCGACTTCCAATTTGACCGCAGAAGAGTGTGATCTGGCCAGCAATATGGGAACCTTAAAAGTCTATAAGGGTGAAATTTTGCACGCTGTGAGTGGACTGAACTTAACCGTTAACCCAAGTGTAGGTTTTACTCAGGAACCACTCAATCTGACTGTTAGCTTCAAGACAGGTGTTGATGTACAGTTTAGTTTTGACTTCGGTGATGGAAGTCCACGAACTGAATGGAATGGCAGTCGTAAAGTATCTCATTCATACCAAGGAAGTGGTTATTACAAAGTTAAACTATTTGCTCGTCAACCCGCTAAGCCAGAGAGAGCGATTGTGGTCACTTCTATGGTGGTTAAAATTGTAGACAAAATTGAACCTGTGGATATTGAATTTCATTGTTTCCCAGTGATTGAGCCGGAGGAAGATTCAGGGTGTAATGTAACTGTCTTAGCTGGTCAAGATTTAAATGCAACAATTGATTTTGGAGATGCAACAGAGCCTTTGGATTTCACAGTACCAGGTAAGTTTCAAAAAGTTACTAACAGTTGAGAAAAACATTGATTACGAGATAAAGAATGTCATTCTAGCCTTTGTTCACTTTAGAGTTTTTGAAAATCTTTAAAGATTTCACTTTTATTCATTCTTTTTTATTTCTAATCTGTTTCGGGTTATCCAGATACCAGATTCAATCCATTGGGTCCATTAATTTATGACACAAACAGTACAACATACGAAGAAGCCCCTTACGGTCTTTACATCCTATCCGATTCAGCTAAATCCTATTCAAGTAATTCAAATATAAGAGCTTTAGAAGGTATTTCACCGAATGGTGGGGATTTAGAAATGATTATTTACCGTCCTTGGTGTGGCAACAACACGCCTTGTTCCCTTGGAGTGGTGTCATGTTCTCCGCCTAAAGTATTTTGCCTTCGTGACAAAAACTGTATAGAACCAAGCCCTAAGAAAACTCCAGGTTTGACTGGCGAGCCAGGAGAATGTCGCTCTCATATTGAGATTTTCCCAGAATACAAGATAGCTCGACGAGTATTGATCACTGTAACCAAAAATTATTTTTATTATCACCTATCCAAGTCTCGAGATTTCCGTATTGGTGACTTAATTGCACTTCGACTGTACGACGCCAAACTTGCCTCCGAATCAACCAACTCAACAACCAACCTTGATCTGGTATTAAATTCACCAACAGGAAACTCAGGCGATCCACCTAGAATCATTGGGTATGAAACAATGAAACCATATACTTCAAAGAAACTCTTGGTTCGTGTAATCACCTATGAAAATACAGAATTTTACTTACCACACCTTTTCGCCGATAACGGTAATTACACGGCTAAACTTACTCTAACCAGTCCATGGTTAGGTGAGGTTAAAAATTTTACCTATGACATGAAAATAGCTGTTCAAACACCAATCGACCAGATACGCTTACGAGTTTCTCCACCCAATGCTGTGGTCGGACAAAAAGTAGCTGCTACAATACGAATCAATGGTGGATCAGATGTAAAGTTGACATGGGATTTCGGTGATGGTTATAAAACACAACGTAAAGTGGACTTTGTCAAGCTGGGACAAAAGTTTGTTGAATCTCACGAGTTTACTAGTCCCGGAGTTTATCGGATAACAGTTGGGGCTTCCAATTTACAAAATAAATATGCAACAGGACAAACAATTACAGTTCAATATCCAATAACAAACGATTGGAAAATAACATCAAATTCACCTCAGCTTCTTCCAGGTAAGATAATTTCCCTTGATTCCAACTTAAAAATTGCACGATTTTTCCAATTAGACAACATATTAAGCCAAATAGATCAGTTCAAGTCGCAGTCACATTTACATCAGACTAGTCGTCTGACTAAAGCACATTTTCCCTCCATCAAGATGATCATAATTTCGCTAAAAAACACAAAGAATTTTAACATTGATTTCAGATCGGTTAACAAAAACACGAGTAGGGCCAATAAATATCATAAATCACCATTCGACTAGATAAATTTAATAACTCAAAAAGCATAAATTGACTAAAAAATTAAAAAATGGTTACAAAAAATTTAAACAACTGTTAGCTATTTCCATTTGCCATTTAAAACAAACGATAGTAGATGGCGCCAGAGAATCAACTTGAAATGAAAAGCTTTGATTTCAAAAATCAATTTCAGTTTCATTGCAATTAGATAAATCAATTTACAAATCAATAAAGCGATGAATCCATTTTCAGTTCAATTAAACTCGTTTAAACATTAAACTGTTTGAAACGTGAAAATTCTAGAAGTTAATTTGTAAGAATTGTAAATACATGTATAAAGAAAAAATTTGCTCCAAAAAATAAACTGAAAAATTGTCCAAAAAGCAGTAAAAGGACAGAAATATTGAAACAAAGATATAATCATTGAATGGTTCAATAGTTTGCAATTGTTCAGTTGAGTTGAGATGACATTTCAATGGAAACCAGTTAATCAATAATGGCAATAATTTGTAATGCAAAGGCAATTAAAGTGTTGCTCAAGTTGATCAATAATAATGAACGGATTGATCAAGTGCAATGAATGGGTCAATAAAAATTGATTTATTTGAACTTGGAAACGCAAAGGGCAACCGAACAAAACAAAAAGTTAGTTTCAAAAAGTAAGCCAATTGGTGGACACATAAAAGACAAAACTTGACCAAGCTAATTGAAAATCAAAGGATGAACTCAATGTTTGTTAACAAATATCATTACAGGGAATGAATAGAGAGCATGAAGGAAAAAAGTGCATGAATAGATGATAACAATTGAAAGATAATGGTTTGATGATTGATGAAACTGTGATCATCATATGACCAGAAAACAATCAATGGTCAATACCTATTAATGATATTTTTCAAAACTCCCTTTGTTTCCCTTCGAGATTAAGCTTAATCTTTATTCAATCCCTTGTTCAATGAAATGGAAACAAAATAATGATCGAAACATTTTTCTTTATTTATTCATGTTCTGAAGAGGGTTGAAATTTCGAAACATTTATTCCATTTTCCATCGAATTTTGAGAAATTTCGAGAGAAAAAATATTTCCATAAATATTGTCTTAGAAAATAATCTTCCCTCCCAGAGACTAGCTGATAAAATGTCACAAAATTAAGATAATTTTTCAGAGTTAATCATAAGAGACGGACGATAAAATGGATTATTTTTCCAGCAATAAACATCAATTAGTTCGTGCAAGAGTCGGCAAGGTTTACATTAGCTTACCTACTCATGACTTGTCGTTGCAAAAGAAATCCTTCTCAGTACGAAAGAAACCACAGATTCGCACAAATAGTACACGTGTACACTGGTCCTTGCAGGACGCTATCGCCCGACTGAACGCCTCTAAGTCAGAATCTTGTCATTAGTTCAAGTTGATGAAAGAAATTCGAGATTTTCTTACGAAACTGAATCTCGAGAGGAAAATCGTTTGATAGTTACTAACGATAAAGTATGAACCATAAAGTTTGTCACCAAATAAATTTCGCTTTGCATTTCAAGCAATCGGTTTTGACAGTAAAAAGCTTAATAATTTTTTGGTGATCACAAAATCAAAATGTAGCTTACATGTTAGATGAATGTCTAACAAAAAAAGTCTAGCAAAACAAAAGTGCCAATATGCTTAGCATGGTGGAAAACTTTGTAGGTCATACCTTATTCGTTCTGTTCTTGGTTAGTCTCTTGTTGGCATTATCCTTTGGAATGAATTTTCCGATAACAAATGATACTGATATAATGGTAAAAGTAATATCGCTAATGATAAGGATAATTGCTATTGAACTTTTTTTCTCGTTCCTTATTGAGTTTAATCAATCAGATATAGAATGATCATCATTCTGATTAGAAATGAATAAAGATATTAACTAATCAATATTATATCATGATAGGTTTACAACTGTTCACTTGAGAAAATCACTTTTCTATTTTTTCGTTTCCATCATAACAATCAACTTGACTTCCCTTGAGATTGCGAATGTTGAATGATTAAGGAAGAGAGAAAAAAAGTAAAAGAGAGTTTTCTGTTTGACATGAGTTTCGTGAGAATTTAGTTTATCATTATAGTTATCAAATTTTCATCATTCCCTGTTCGCCATCTACTTTTTGCTTCTCTTTTGGAAAACCTTCAATTTCAATAATTACCTGTTGACAATGATGATGAGAGCAGAAGAAAAAAGTCATGAAAAGGGGAGCGAAAATGAATTGAATGATAAGATGATTGATGATGAACATTATCATCATGGAATGACCAAGAATGAAATCTGATAAAAACAACAGAATCCAACATGAAACATGCAATATAATACAAAAGCAAAGAGGAACAAGCAAAAAGTAAACTGGAAAAGTCAATATTGATCAATCTTACAACACATTCACTTCCTTTTCATGTTATTATTACTATTATCTATCACTCATAGTTATTCAATCCAAAAGGTTACCCAAACAAAATCATCATCATCATGGTGATCATCACCATCACCAAGATAATCAATGAATGTACACAGATAGATAATGAATAATCTATTCAAGTTGAAATGGAATAGGTAAAAGCAATTCTCTATTCACCTTAACAATTAACTGTGAAACTGTTATTGGATTAACAGATCAGGGGAATGCGAAATGAATAACATTCACTCCCAGTGAATAAAGGAATACGAAAGATTGTTTACCAAACGAAATGTTGATCAGAAAATGACTGAAAAAGAATAAAATTTTTTCCTTTTTCTCTCATCAATATTGTGACACTTTTATTACCATTCATCATCCAATTAAGAGTCGCCCTAATAGATGGAGCTCAATGTTCACAGGGAGTGATTGTTATCGACACTTTTCAATGTTTTTTGCTTTTCTTTCAACTGTTATCTAAATTGTGGTTGCATGGTGATGAGGAATCGGTAAATTGTATTACAATGAGACATATTTTTGTTAGCAATTAGATGATGCATGTAGACGCTTGGGATGTTCATGTTAATGAAGATGATATTTGAACTCGTTTTGCTCTCGTTCAACGTTTTCTGAGTATCTGAATATTTCTTGTTCATTAGTTTTTATCAACATTTTTCCTTTTCAACTCTTTTTTTCTTGCTCACTGGCAAGGCTGGGAGTGTGAGGCAAGATGTTACTGTTATGATGATGATGATGGTGAAGGAAAGTGAACCCTGGAGTCACAATTAGCAATGAAAGTTAAGCTCAACTGGATGGAGTGAGATAATATGAATCAGGTGAAAGCGTAATTCAGTACAAGTTGAGTTGCAGTAGTAAGTCATGTTGTATTATTATTACAATAACCTCAAGGGAATGGGAAGAAACAGTTTTCATTCCTAATGGCGTTCAGTTTTAATCTCAACTGTTTTATGTCTTTTTTTCAGTTTTATACACAAATACATGTAGATATTGTGATACATGGGACTGTGTCTGTTTGTGTTAACTGGTTCATGGGAAACATGAGGATTGCAATTAGCTTGAGAGAATCCAGAAAATCTAATCTATGTTTCACTTGAATTGAAAACAGTCTTGCAGTCAAATTAATGGCAACCAAGACAAAAGTGTTTATTAAACAGATCAACTTTACTAAAGTGAAAAAGTTTACAGTCGACTTGAGTTAGTTGAAATTCAAGTTATCACAAGTCACATAGAGTCACCTTACCTTGCAACTTCAATCAACCGGCAACCTCTGCTTGATTAGGAGCAAACTTTTGCCTAAACTTGCCCCAAACTCAGAACCAAGACTCAGTTCAAATTCATCTTTCATTTTGAGTTTCGCTTTACATTCAATGCTAAGAAGGATATCAAAATGAACAAAGCAAATTGCCTATTCTTAGATGACTTTAAATAATTTTTTCTCATGCGCAAATACAAACGTTCGATATTTGACTATTTTTGCTTCAATTTTTTCCGTTTTACTTCAAGTAGAAAAGAGCATTGCTTATTGTGTATCTCAATTAAGTTTCTTTTATACCACGACCTAGAACTTTATCTACTTTTTACCAACTTGACAACCTTAAATTTTGAATGAAAATTGTTTCGATTTGGTAGTAATTTTTGCAATTGATACTTTTTATTTAAGTTTCGATTCAGTTTGTGTTCAATTCATAAGACTTTGTGTAGAACTGCAAGTCAAATCATTTAAACAAGTGAAAACAGAGTAAGAATAAGTCAGTTTAAAACGAATTTCCAGCCAATTTCTTTGAGTTAAAACAGAAAACTGTGAGAAAAGCCAATTTCTGATTGCTTTTGTGCTCGAGTTGAGACAGATTCCAACTCAAATTTCACTGACAAGCTAATCAGTTAAGCTTTAAAATTTTATTTCGACTGAATGTTAACCTAGAAAAGATGCACATCCAACACTTGACCATTATGATTGAGATGAGTCTTGTAAAGGGTTTAAAGTGATTGATTTTCTTGTTGACATCGTAACATTGCTTTCAATATTAAAACACTAGTTCTACATGAATAATGAATATTGAAAATTGATTGAAAATTTATTTTCTCTTTTCTTCTTTTCCAATATTCTGGAACATTTTCCCTTTATAAATTATCAATGAATATCATTTTCTTTCCCTTCCCTTTATCATTATGTGAATCATGTTGTTGTTAATAAGTTTTGAAAGAAAAAAAGTTTTTTCCTCAAAAAAGCAAAGAATATCATTACCAAATGAAAAGGGCAACAAAGACGAAGCAAATTTTTGATCAAAAAGAGCGAATGATAATGAAGAGAAAGAGTCAGAAATGATGAAAAAGGATGAGAATGTCAATGAGTAAAATGCGGTTGATAAATTTCGTCTTTTCACTTGGAATTTTCTTCGATTTTCATTTTCAAATTCAACTCACGATCAACTTTTCTTTACCTTATTTTGTTGTTGTTTACTTGTCATCAAATAATAAAACAAAGCGCATTGAAACACCTTTAATTTGATGACATTTTCATTCTCAATAATCATCAGAACAGGACAGAAAATCGAAGATTTGATAGAAAATAAATAAATTTGATCAATTGATCAACAACGAATTCAGAAACGCGAAAATCGATTGTTGACCGCAAGACTAAAAGTGCTTCTGAATTCAACTGAAAGTCAACTCATTTGTCCAACAATCTTTTGATTCTTAATTTCATTTTGCATTTTCCTTGTTGAACCAGAATTGATAGAAACGTGAAAAGAGCAAAATTGTTTCATGAAAAGCTGTATTTACTTTTTCCATTTTTACATGATAAATGTTTTGAGAGGAAAATGAAAACAAATTAGTTGATCAACTTGAAAACAATGGAAAGGTAAACATTTTCATTAGTAAATAAAAGTGAAACAAATGCTGAAAATTTATTTTCCTTGTTTTGCTGCCAGCTTTTATTGCTATTACATTTTTAATATAAACTGAAATGGTTCAAGTTTTAGAAACAAAATCAACAGAGGAAAGGTTAAGTTAATGAGAAGGGTAAAGGATATTCTCATAAGAATAAAGGTTAATATTGTATTCTTTTGTTGCCATGTTAAACTTTAATGGCTTTTCATTTATTTATGGATATTAATTGTTTTGCTTTCAGTTTACCTTCAATCAACTCAGAGTTGAACGAGAAACTCAAGACTTTTCCACTTCCAAATTGACCAAAATCAATTTCATTACAAACATTAGACTTTTCAAACAAGAAAATCTCTAAAAATTGAAAAGCATATTCACTTGAAGCCAACAATTTACTTTACTCAACTTCATTCCAACAGAAGCGATCTTTTTCAAAGGTTCTAATTTAATGTCATTTTCTTGTCGTTTCAGGTACAATTGATTTACTGTTAACTTATCCTGTATCGAGCAACTCGACGGAAATGATTTTACCAACCAATGCAAGTGTCAATATACTCTTTGGCGATGGTTCAACCTATGAATGGATTGTACCTGAGAAATGGTCAGAATTGCCTAATGGCGAGAAAATATTTTCTCATCGTTACAAGTACCAAGGTCACTACAAGATAATTGCAACCATGTTGAACTTGGTTTCAACTTTAACCCTGAAAACGGACATCTTTCTCTTACGACGAATCACTGGATTCTGGTTGGAAACTTATACTTTACCGGCAAACAAAAAGTTTAGCTCAACCGAATCAAAGTTACCCAATGAAATTGAGGGTAAAAGGATTGATGAGGAGGAAAGCAATTCAGATAATACTTTAACAACTTCCAATCGACATAAATTATCCATTGGAAGTCAAGTAAAGTTTACGTTTAACCAAACCACTGGTGATGTTGATAAATATATTGTTTATCTTAATGAAAAACTTCTCAAAGAGACACCGAACAACAAATTCCTTTTTACCGGAAAAAAGGTAAATAATGAATGAAACGAAGAGAAAATCAGAAAAAAACTAAACATTCGTAGTTGGTAAAGGCAGGGAGAAGAAGAAGCCAAAAAGAAGAAGAAAAAATTGTCAATTCTTTACTTCATCTTCATTATCATTATGATTCTTACCTTTTTCATGTTCAATCTTGTGTTTATCGTTAGTCTCAATATTCATTCTGAGCATCATCATGATTCTCTTAACCACATTGGTGAACCTTGTTTCAGCTCATTTCGTTTGTCAAAAGTGAATATTTTTAGCTGATCGAAGATCATTTTTTTTCTTCTTCCACCAAATCTCAGCCTATTAATATTAATATTGAGAATTTCATTTCTCCCTGAAAAATGAAAAGTGCAACTTCTTCTCTCTCCTTCAACTCAATCAAGTTCACTTCAACATTCAAATCCAAATATATTGGGATTAATATTTGTATATATGAATGATAATACTCTTGATAATATGCAAGTTATCATTTAACTTTGGACGTAAAACAGGGGAAAGCGAAAAAAAGAGAAAAGCAAAGTCACTTTCTCTTCTCATTTCAATCATGAATTTTCTCGATTCTCTCAATCATTCAAATGTATTCATCCTGAAATCGAACAGAATGTAAACAGATAATCATGAATTTTTATTCTTTCGTCTTGAACTTTTTCCATCAAACAGAATCATCTCCAAGTTGAGTAATTATTAATGCTACAAATTGCTACTTTCAAGTTGCAAGAATTGAACAAAATTGAAAAGTTGAAGAAAAAAATCCAAGTAAAATGTTCAGCTTGCAACGAAAATATTGTTTGGAGTAAAAAAAGGTTGGACTGATAGCATTTCCATTAACTTGGAGTTTGTAAGATGATAATGATAAAGTAAGCTTATCAATGACCTTAAGGAAGGCAAAGATGAAGTCCCTTTAGAGACGAGAAGGGTATTCATTTTTGTTAACATTCTTCTTGGTTAATGGTTAGTCTCTTTTTTCAACCTCATTTTCTGTCAATCTTTTTCTTTGTTCATCAACTTTTTATCTTGAACACACACACATGAAACTCATGAAATCACAATTTTCCTTCTTTCCATCAATAACATTGAACTTGGCGGAAAAGTTCAACTTGACAATTAGCTTTAATTTGAAATGAGAAAAGTTTCACCTAAAAAATTCACCCAGTTGAACATCATTTTGGATTGGAAAAAAATCTGCATAGAAATTTTTCTCTTCGTTTTTTTCGAAACTTTTCATGATTCAAGGAATGCACTTTAAAGGTTAAACGAAGTTGAACATTTGTGAACAATTAGTTGGAACAATCAATCAGAAGGGTTAAATTTCCAAGTTAATTGAACCCATTCTGCATTCTAATTACATTTCAAGTTGTTCGTATTCCATGATAATCAACAATCTTATTCATCAAGGTGTGGCTATTTGCATGATAAATTGAATTGAACTTTTTTTCTCTTTTTCTCTTTTCTCTTCTTCTTCTTTGAAAATAAGAAGGCAAAGAGAGAAAAAGAAACTAAATTTTTCATTTTCTTTTGAATAATTTTTCAATTCTGTCATATTATCATGATATAAATGATTCCTTTATTTGACAGTAATTATTCAATGAAATATTATCTCAACAAAAACAAACATTTATTATTTATCATTTGACAAAAAAAGAGTAACGAGAAAAGATGAAAAATTTTGGCTCAATGAAACTCTCCTGTCTCATTTAGTTCAATGTTACCAGATGAACATTGATTATTCAAATGCTGGGAATGAAACTTTAAAAAATGCTATTCTGCACATTCAAGGGTTAACCATACTTGATCTGTTTAAAAATAAACTCATTAATAGTCAAAAGTCAATAGATGCAAGTTTAGTTGAACGATTAAGTCGTCATTTTATTATCAATTATTGTCGATGCAAGTCCAAGAATGGATTCCCAGTCATTCCATGACTATTTCCCTGTTGATAATTCAATCTATATCAAACTTTGTCATCTATATCTTAACATTTCCTTTGTCAGAATGGGATGCAATTGTATTTCGCTTGTTTTTCCCTTTTTGCAATTCTCATCAGAACAAATATGGAGCTTTCCATTCAACAAGGGAATGAGAATTGATAATAATATGAGATAATAAATTGATATTCTAAAATAGAAATGATAAAATATCATAATTCTGGTGATAACTTTGCTTTTCAACATTCTTCTATTCCTGCAACTTTATATTAATAAATATTGAATTAGTTTTTTTTCGCTCTCTCTTTCTGCACTCCTCATTATTCCAAGGCTATTGAAATTTATTGGTTATAACAATGTCTAGTGATACCAAGGGTAATAATAGTGATGATATCAATAATATTAATAACAATAATGATAATGATAATGATGATCATGAGGAGGGTAACGAAGGGTTGAATGAATATTTATATTTATAATATTGACCGAGAATGTATTTTCTTGATAATGTTATTATTTAGCTTCTTTTTATACCTTGACTTTCATTGATATTGTAATTACATGTTACATCTTTTATTATGCATTAGACCATTTAATATTATGTATATAATATCGTTACGGTTTATTGATTTAAGTGATTGGGAGGAAACAATTTTTAATTGTTTCTTGTTAACAGCAATTTCGTTTTTTTGTTTCTTCTTCATTGGCATTTCCAGGGAAGGAAGTGCAGGGAGTGAAATGCAGGGAATGAGTATCAGGGAGCGAATGCTAAGTCTTGAGATATACAAAGTAAGCACTGGGAGTGAGATCAGGGAGTGAATTCTGGGAGTGAGTCTCAGTCAGGGAGGGAATGCTAGCACTTGAGTGTTCAAAAGATACAAAGTGAGCTCTGGGAGTGAATTCCAGGAAAGGCGAAGTTGAATGAGATGAAAATTGAGTTAAGATAAGAATGATTAGATTGAGAATATTGAACAGCCAATTGATTCAACATGCTCTTTGGTCAGCTCGATTTATCTGATTGTCATGTAAATTAACAGTCAGACTTGATCGATATAAGATTCAGTTCAACTTTGCACTTTACGTTTTTTTTCTTGTGTTAGTTTTTTCTTTTCCTCTTTCGTTACTCCCATTTTTCTTCCTATTTTCTGTCTCTTCATCTGCATCTCATCTTCATCTTATCTCGATCTTTTTCTAGTACTTTTTTTCTTGCTTACTTGTTCGTTGTTCAAGTGTGTTTACATTATTATCTGACAGATTGATTTTGGTTAGAATTGAAAAGGATGGAATGTAGATTGAGAGGGAAGGTTGAGAAAAAATGCTGAAAGAGGAAAGGGAAAGAGAAGAGAGAAAGGCTAGATTTGTTGATTAGGATGGGAACAGCATGAGATTGACAGTCTGAATGGCTTAATAAGGAGATCCACTTATATTAAGATTCACTTAATCAAAATTGGCGAGCAAATGATTGTAATATTAATCAAACCAATTTCTATCTTTTATTATTAATCAATATTGCGATTCTCAATATGTGAATCCATTACATAGGAACTTTTTTGTTCATCATTTTTGCTCATAAATCTCAACATTTCCATCTCTATTCCAGCAAATTCATATGCTCATTTATGATAATCATAAACATAAGATATGAAAATAGCCAGCATAACTAGATCTGAAACTGAAATCAATCAGTTTGTCTTGAATTAATTCCAACCAAATATCAATTCTCATTGATTGGTATTGAATTACACCAATTGCAAGAAAATCACAATACAGAACATTTTCAATTTGATTATTGAGCATTTTATCCATCAACTAATAATATCATTGAACACATCTTAAGTCTTTCGTTTATCAAGTTTTATCGTTAAGATTGAAGTTTGTCAAGGAAAGTTTTGGGTTCATTTTGTTTTGGATTGAACTTTTGTTGAGTTGAACTTGAAATGCAAACTTTATGAAAGAATGTAATTAATGAAAAAAGCTCATTTCAAAATTCATATTTATCTTTTACTTTTACTTTCGCTTTAGCCTGGTTGGCATAATTTCACATTCTATGCGTACAACAAAATTCAAGGGCGAACCGATCCAGTTTATCGAAACCTTTACTTTATGAAACCAGTTTCTGGTCTCGAGTTGCTCGATGTAAGTGTCGATGTGACTAAACCAGCCAACAAAATATTGCAAATAAATTTACGCGAGATTGGCACTGATTCGTGTGTGGCCATACTTTACGGAGACTCGATGCCGTTCCATAAATCGGCTTCTCTTTTTGGATCTCCTGAAGATTGCTCTGAAGGTTTTCCCAACATTGAAGTTGCCCATTATAGTGACATTAATGAGACCATGATAGCACCCTATGATTATACTGGCGGACCTGGTGACTATGTGGTTACGGCAAAGGCATGGAATGCAGTTAGTGGAACGATATCAACGCAACTAACCATAACTGTACTGGAAATTGATTGTTATGTTCCCGAGGTAATAATATACAATCCATCGACCAACTATTCGCTTGCAACTCAAGTATGGAAATCAAAGCCAGTTCAACTTTACTCACTGGCCAAGGTTGACTGTAATGCTTCCATTACGGTAAACAAGTATTGGCAGTGTTACTCCATCAATGAAGAAACGGGTGAACAAGGTGAACCCATAGACCTATCCATGCTCGACTCGTATCGTAAAACAGTCCTCTATGTGCCACCCTTTTTCCTATCTCAAGGGTTGTACTCTTTTCGTTTTGTGGTTGATCTAAATAATCTTGAGCCACATCCTTTGCTACCCTTTTCTGGGCATGCATCGACTTATATACGCATTGTGAGGTCACCGATTATTGGTAAAATGACTGCAGGAGCCGAGAGTCGAGCCATTCGTGGAATGGGACAGCAACTTAAACTTGCACCTGGAATCTATTCAATAGATCCAGATGATGATAGCAATAAAAACTTCAACATAATCTGGTATTGCCGTCGATTACCAAATGAAAAGTTGTTTGAATCAAATGAAAACAAGGAAGAAGAAACGGAAGAGAAAGATGATGCAAAGAAGAGCACCAAAAATGACGAGGACGTTGAAAGAGATGACGCTGTCGAGGAAGAGGCTGATGAAGAAAAATCAAGTGGTAAAGCAAAGGGCAAAGGCAAGCGTGGAGGTGGATCGAGTGAGGAAGAGATGGCAGTATCAAATCCTCTCTGGGAAAGACCAGCCTTTATGGAAGACATGGGTGGTTGCTTTGGTAAAGGTCCAGGTCGAATCAATATAACGGACAAGTCGATTGAATGGCCAACTTCAGTCTTTTACGCTGCTGGGTTTACCTACGAAATTGTAGTCAAGATTGATCCACCTGACCGGGAGCCCTCTTGGTCTGGTATTCAATTGGTACTCCTTGAACGAACACCTCCTTCGATAACCATTCAATGTCAGACACCTTCTCTATGCTATCCACACGTACCTCTGGGTCAGAAAATTAATCCAGTTCGAGTGGGTCTGGTTGGTGTTTGCAATGAAGACTGTGATGGAACACTGCTCTACGAGTGGACCATATTTGGTATCGACTCTGTTTCAGGAGAGGAAAACTTGTTGACCGATGCAGCAAACTATGTGGTTGGCTCAAACGATGTCAAAATGGCTTTGGGCAAAGAGTTTTTCGATCGCTATTATCCAAAGTACGGTGACTTTTTTGCCAAACTTGCGGTAATCAATGAACGCGGAGATCGCGGTGAATCAGACATTTTCTTGCACATTAACAAGCCACCAACTGGAGGCGATTGCAACATGACTTCGACTGGTCATTATGCTCTGCTTGATAAGCACATGATCAACTGTTACAACTGGTACGATCCCGAGTACAAGCCAATTGAATATTATGGCTTTTGGATAATGTCAAAAGCCAAGGGTTCAATTTCATTCCTTTCTTATGGTCCTGAACGAAAGGCAACACTGGTCTTACCTCCGGGTGAGTTTCTGGTTGGAGTTGATATAAAGGACAAGGAAGGTGCTCTGACTCGACATGCAATTACCAATTTAACTCTAATACCACCAACTCAGCAACAGTTTGATGCCTTCATGGAGCTTAAACAATTGGAGAATGCTGATGCTGCTGGAGATCAATCAAGAATGTCAATGATTTCTCAAGCTGTTTCAGCCTTAATGAATATTGATTTGGTGGATGAAACTTTGTTGGAAGCGACAACAACAACAACAACAACAACAACCACAACCACAACAATGAAACCAACAACTGGCAATGGAACCATATTTGCCCAGAAAAGTGAAGCCAAGATTGAAGAGGAGGTTAAAACTCGATCAAAGATGTTTCAATCGGTTGAAAATATCATGAATGTTGACACGTTAAACAGCTTGGAAACCATTGGATCAGTCTTGTCCGCCATCTCGGGTCGTGGTAAGGGCATTGATAATGAGGCTAAACACACTGTTATACGCTTGTTAAACAAGACAATCAATATGGCATCAACACTGGAAGTTGAATCTCCTCAACAATTGATTGACTTTTGCATGTTTGCAGTGGGCACAATGGGAGCAATTGTCAATGTAAGTGTTCATGAATCAACCTTTAAACATGATTACCTTTCAACTGGCAACAAAACTAATTACATTCCAATTGGAATGTGAAAACAATTTTTCAATCTTTTCCCATTTACCAACAGCGAATGACTGAACAATTGATCAAAAAAGTTGTACTTCCAACTGATCGCTCAAAAGCCTGGGGAATCGAGTATGAAGTTGAACCGCCCGACTATGGTGAAGCTAAAGGTAAATGTTCTTTTCGTTTATTTTCATTTTCTTTTTCACTTTCAATTCGAAAGGAAAAAGTTCCATTTTACTAAACTTGTCAATAATTTGTGTCCAACAGTCAGTTTAACAAGCAGCATTTGTCTTAATTAGGAGACTTGGAATTGACCAGATAAGTTGAAGTGAGTTTTAACTTGGAGTCAAGGCAAAGGGAGAGAATAGAGTTTGAATGGAAGGAGAAAATTGACTGAGAAAAGATGAAAATTGTTCAGAAAATAGACTGATAATGCTGATGAGAATGGTTGAAGATGAGGATGAAAAGGATGGGTTGAAGGAATGAAGAAAAGAAGAAACGGAAATGAAGAAATTTTCGTTTACGAGTGAGGAAAAGGTTGTTTATTGCAAGATATTCAAGTGAAGTAGCTTTTTGTCTCATTTCCTTGGTTTTACTTTACTTCCGATGATGAGCAAGACCAACTTATCATCTTAAAGTCTCATCACCAACTTTTACTTCATTCATCATCTTCAATCTTCTCATTTCAACCAACTTCAACGAATTCTTCTTCTCTCTAACCAATTTCATTCTCTTTTTTTACCATTTTATTTCCTGTTTCCGTTTCTGTTCAACTTTTCGTATTGTTTTTAAACTTTATTAATATCACGACAAAGCACAGTTTTATTGTTATCGAGTAAAGTTTCAATTGAGTTAGAGATTGCAATTTCAATAGTTAAGATGATCGAAGATGAAGCAAAGTGAAAACAACAAGTTTTCAACTTTTACGGAAAAGTTACTTCTCTGATCAAATAAATTAATCTTTTACCAATAAAATGATGAACTTTGTTCAAGTTTCGTCAAGTCACTTGAAGCTCGATTTGAATCAAGCCTAAGGTAAGGATGAAGAGAAAACAAGAAGAGAAAAATCGTAAGAAATTCGTTTCAAACAAACTGCTTCATAAATTTTTCTACTAATAATCAACATTCGAGAACAAATTCTAAACTTGTTCTCGACTTATCGAGTTCTGTTGATGTTTTAACAAGTAATGCAAATACCGATTTGAAGTCGGATGTACTTAAAGATAACGAAAGCCCGAAGAAATACTTGCAATAAAAAGAAATTCTAGAAACAAGAATTAAACAAATCAAATTAGTTTCGTTTAAAGTTCATCTAACAATTTTATGAACTTTAAGAGAAACTGAATGAATTCTGAAGATCGAGTTATTTTTCTTGTCTCAATGCTTGATGTTTCTGCAATTGTAAATTCATTGATTAGAGTATGGAATGAGAATTTGGGAAAATCTTTTTCGTCTCAGTTTGAATTCTTGGATCAGCATCAAGAGAACCTTGGTGAGATCGTTTTGCTCTGACAATTTAGTTCAAAAAGAAATGTAATATTGTAAGAACATAATGATTGCAATAAAAAGAGAATGAGTTTTGTTTGGACTTTTTAATTTTATGTGACTTGAATACAAGTTTAACCCTCCGTTGCTACTCTTAGACTTTTTTGTCCAAAATAATTTTTGAATGTTAATAAAATCAAAACCTTATGAGTTAGAAACTTTTGACTCCGGAACATTGTCAATCATAGATATGAGTGTGTACATCTCGAAAACAAAGAGTATGGACATTATAGTTTACCTGTAATATTGATATAAAGAGTGACTAGCACGGTCAAAGACAAAAAAGTCACAAGAGTAGCTTTGCGTAAATGCACTGCCAAAGCTACGGAGCAATAAAATTCTCTTTTATTTTTTTGACCACTTTATTGCTTTTTTGTAACAACTCACAAAAAGAGTCATCAATAGCTTATACAAGCCTTTCCGTAAGAAAAAGCGAAGATAATTAGCAAAGAGAGGGCAAAGGTCAAATCAACTTTTTTGGTTTTATGATGGTAACAACTATCTCAGTTTTTGATTTTGAAAATTTTGAGATCGGGCTGAATATGTTTTACGAGAAAGAAGCATTTGAATTGAATGTAAAATCAATGAAGATACCAATATAGTTTTATCAATAAAAGCAATTAAAGTCAAAGGTGCATTAAATAATGAACAACCATTGATCAAAATTTATTAAATGTCACTAACTTTTGATTATGGATTTCAATAGATTAAAATATGCTCTAGAAGATACATTTAGTGGCATCTCAATATCTATTGCGGTTTTTTGATACGAAAATGAGAAAATTCTAGGATTAAAATGAGTTAGACTGCCATAGCAAGATTTCAAGCAAAACTCAAAATTTCAATAGATTTGAGAAAAGTCAAAAAAGTCAAAAAAGTCAAACATAAGACACAGAAACCAAAAAAGCAATAAAAAAGAGAACTGACAAAATTTTGGTCAAAAGTTAGGGTCAGGGTCAACGCTACCCCCATTTTACAACTTTTGCCTCTCATTTACTTCTTACTGCTGTTAAGGCTACGGACAGTTTTGTCCAAAGAGTAGCATATTTGTGACTTTTTTTAAGAGTAGCAACGGAGGGTTAAGAAAACTTTGAAAAAGTAAAAGTTAAAGTTTTAAGGGATTAATGAATTCAGCATGGAATGGTTCCAGGAAACCAAAGCTCAATGAAACAATGATGTCAGTAATGAGAAAGTTTTGATAATTTAATTGTGACAATGATTATAACGAGTGACAAATGTTGATACAAAAGTTGATCATGGTTTACTTTTCATCTATTAACATGTTAAAAAAGTGTTTGTGAGGGAAAAAAATGATGAAACTTTGTGCTCTTTATTAGGGTTGATGAGACAATGGGAATTATGTGAACACTGAACAACCAGAATGCCTTTGAAGAAACAGGCTCAATAACAAATGAGTCTCATCAGTTTCTTTTATCATAACCATCATCATCATGAACAATTATTGATATGAGGCGTATCTTTCTCCTTCATCTGCTAATAATATCACATCAACAATACCAGCCGTGAAAACATTTTTTTCAACATTTGTTAACATTTAATACCATCTCTGGCAATGTTATCCTGAATAGCATCGCAATTGTAAGAGATGAACATTGATTTGTATTTTTATCAGAATTTGTTCTTTTGCCTTTTTTTCTTCTTCTCCCAATTGTCATTTTTTGCATCATTTTGTTGCCTCCTGCATATTCCCTGTAATCATTAATTGCAACTGCAAAATTGGCTGCATCAACGTGATTCGCTATAGTTTAGGCAAGCTGAACAATCCATGGTAAATGATGTTCATTGAATGAGCTGAAAAGGCAAAAAATAAGAGTTATTAATAGAAAAACAAAAGAATATCATTGTGACAGTTTCACTCAGAATCTTCACATGAGATACAGAATGAGGATCTCGATACATTTATCAGACTATAATTTCAAGCGATGGTTCATATTGTGATAAAACATGAATATAAGCGAAGAAAATGCAGGGAATGGAAAATGCTGAGAGTAAAAAGCTCTAAAATCTTAGGTTCAAGTTTCTCTAATTTCTCGCTTAATGAATATTATTCTGAGAATTTTAGTGACGAATTATTTAGTTCTCGATTTTTTATTAATGATTGTGCTATAAGGTACGAAACTTATTTTGTGTAAGATATTGAAATGTCCAGATCTTAAACGGAGTGAGTTGAGTTGATGAAGTGACAATATCGAACTGGAACGCCTGGGAGTGAAGAGCCATTCTCTGCATATTCATCACTTTTGATAATTCCAAATATATCAATTAATGAAGATAGAATGAAAAAAGGTAAATTGATATTTTTTCGTTTCTCTTTTTCAACGTTTCACTCCCAGTCAATTTTATCCTCTATCAAAATAAAGACTAATAGAAAGGGAGAAAAATAAATGAAATAAATGATGGCACGATATAATGTTCAACATTGCGTGATCAAGTTTCAATATTTATTTGTTTTCAATTCCCATGGTGTAAAGGTGTGCTCATGATAAGGATGGAAATTGAATTGTTTTTTCTTTTCCTTTCATTTTCTTCTTCATGCGACCTTTCTTTTTACTTGCCAGGACAAACATGATAAACATTGTTGATTAAAGGTTGAATTATGAAGAGTCGAGTTATTATACAAAAATAATGGAAAGCAAAAAATGAACAAGAAAATTGTCGGAATTTGTTTATCACATTTAAATCTTGGCCAACCTCATGAATGGCAAATGCACAACAAAAGGCACTTTTGTTTGATTCAAACTCTTTTCACCTTGCAAACAAAATATCTGATTGCAACGTTTTTCCCTGTAAATTCAACTCATTTAATTTGATTACATTTTCCTCTGTTCATCATTTTACCAACTAATTTTACTGTGCATTATTACATTTTCATTATTACGTTATTTTCACTTTTTTTTGCTTGTTCTGTTCATTGCATGAGAGAGGAAAAACATTTCTCTTGTTACATGAGCTCATCTTTTGTTCACTTGTTTATTTATTTATATATTTTTGTCGCACTCCCTGTTTAACTCCCATTGTTATTCCAGTCACAATGATATCTGTCGCCAGTCAAAAACTAAAAGACAAAATATGTTTTCACATATAATCATGAAGAGAGATAATGATGATTATGCTGATAAAAATTGTTATGGTAATGATGAGATTCCGAGAGGCAAAGCTCATAATCTAATTTCAACATTTTATTCACCATTTCATTGAATCGTTGCAATAGCAAATTGCAACACAAAATTCAACATTGTAAAGGGAAAAAGGTTGAGACCAAGAGAAAGCAAACAATCAACTTTATCTCTTAATGCATCTTTTAATACAGATCTTGACTCAAGTATAAGACCAATTGGTTTTGTATATTTCTCAAGTGTTTGCGATTTTCTCAAATTTAGATACGATAATAGCGTTGAGTAAATGTTTGTCTGCTTTAAAATGAATCAGACTTCGGAAAAGGTAATCCAAGTTGAAATCAAGAATTCATAAGAGAGCAAAACATTTTCTTTAAAACTTTCGAGTTAAGACTTTTTGTGTTTCTCGATATTTTATTCTGCCGAGGATCGAAAGGATTCTCTGATTCGTACTTTTCGATGAAATTTGTTCAAAGCTAAAACTC